CAATGAATGGTTTGTCACGTGAACATTTAAAGCAGCCAAATACTCGAAAAGGCATGTTTCTAAATGTGGAGGGAAAACTCCATGTGACCAGGGGGGAGAACACGTAAACTCCAAATATACACGCGTCAGGATCAGTATCGAACTCACAATCTTCTGTATACCAGGCAAGGTCGTTAACATCTCGCCACTGTGGAACCCACAGTGGCATAGCAATGCGCTAGCACGTTTGCTGCTTGTTGCAAAAGTTGACTGTTCGAATCCAGCGGCTGCCCTGGTTATTACTGCGGGTGTATTGACCGTAAAGACGCACACTGTATGCTTCAGAGTTGATGTTTAAAGATGCCCTGACGTTATTCGCCGGAGTAGGCCAGTGCTGGCGTCATGGTCCAAATTTGCCAAATTTATCAAATTGGCCAAAAAATTACTCAATTGGAGTAAATACAGCAATCATCACCCCCCGTCTAGAAAGTATTTGCAGGTACCTCCTTAAAAAAAGTCAAGAGACTCAATGAGACTTTTCTTGGTAAACAAGATGAGAAATAATAAAGCTAACAGAATATTTATTACAAAAATCTCTCTTGAAGAGCGCAAGGAAAACTGCTTGCACAATTTATAACCCGATCCTACTGCCATGTAGGCAACACAAATCAATCCAAAAATAATCTGGAAGAGTTAACGGCGTCAGTGTGGTGTCTGTGAGCCAGGACTGATACAACGCAAGGGACATGTGGGGGGGGGGGTATGCCCACACCATTTTCAATGCTGTTCAGCATTGAATGTGCTGGGGTCACCGAATGCAGCGGGCCCTCCGTGCTGCGATTGTCACGGTGTGACCACCCACCATTGCTCAATGCCATCAAGCGCAAGCCTCCTCTTAAGAGGTCTGTGCAGACCATGCCGGTACTTTTTGGTTGCCACAGCAATGGGGTCCAGGATTTCACTGCACCACATTAGACCCGTCGCCTCTCGCATCGCCAGCACTTTCATCCTGCGCAAAGAGGATTCTAGAGTCTACAGTGGCTGGAAAAGGGAGCCACTTAACCCAGAGATATACAGAAACACACATGCATTTTCACATAAAAAGACAAAGATTCTCCGCCCCCCCCCAGCCTATTTCGTAAGCAAGACTGAGGGCAAGTACTTTGAGGAAAGCACAGTCCGTGGAGTGGGTGGTGGGGCCACCACAACGCCCTGCCACCTTTGTCTCCCAGTGTTTACACATCGATACAGATATTTTAAGGCTGCGTCGACCTAGGGGAGGCCCAGGAATATTTTAGATAATCGCCACTGTTTAATGGTCGTAAGCAGGAGTTGAACCCAGGTCGCTGGGTTCGTACCACAGTGCACTAACCACGACACCACCGTTCCCCCACTTTCACATTCTCGGGCACACAATGTGGTGCTTGTGTGACTATTCTCGTGAATGCTACATCTGATTGAAAACATTATGAATTGGACGCTTCATAGAGTGGCTGAATTCCACACAGAACCATCAATGCTTGCACGCGAAACTTTCACGCTTGCTTGAGAATAACATTAAAATGATCAAGACGTTGCTGGAGAAGACTTCTATTATTGGCACGGTAACCATGGTTTTAAAAATAATGTTGCTTGCAAACGATCATTGCTCTTCATGGTGAATGTTATTGCAGACAAAAAAATAACACCTGCCAGAATTTACAGCTCTTATTTTCTTCATGTACAGTGGATGTGTGTATATTTCATAAGTTACTGCCAATGATAATCCATGAATAAAATGCAAATTAGTAAATGATGTTCTTGTTAGCCTATTTTAGCATCTTCACTATTACGTGTTGCCCTCTAGTGTTGGCATTAAGACAGTCCAATTTCTAAATACATTTACGAGGAGCATAATCTTCTTTGGTTCTTTTGGTAAAGTCACGTAGAATGCAAAACGAATTCTAGCTAGAACTAGCTTCGCTCTTATCTCAGAAAAAATCAGACTGACACGCACCGAACTTGATCAGTTAGACAAGACACTCTAAAAATCACACTTAACATTGACAGCAACAATGTCTACATCGGATTGGGAACATGTAGACAATATGACTACCTCTTCAGTTGCCACTATGTCGACCAAATGTAGGGACAATTTGATCTACGTGACTTTACCGAAAGAACCAAAGAAGATGAATCCTTTGAGTCACGAAAGCTTTAAATAGAGGAGCATAATATTTTGCTCAAAATCTTGGAAATATTTGCACGTGAACACACCGACCAAAGCGAAATTGATCAAAAATGCACCCAAGAGAAAAAGACCCTATTGACAATTGCTACGATTTTATTGCCACTTTTTATCTTCTTTCGCTCACTCATTGGCATCTGTGATATCTTGTACATTTTGAGAGCCTATCTCAAGGGATACAAGATTGTCCCCCCCCCCCGGTGTGTCATTAAAAACCCTGGAAACAGTGCAGATGATCTGGACGGCACAGGACGAATACCAGAATGACCGTGGAAAATCTCTTCACGATGACTGTTTCGGAAATAAAAACGAATTGATGGCACTTAGAACACCAACTGATGCTTGGCAAATGTAAACTAATAACCCAAGGTTTCCAAAACAAAAAACACAATCTATTATTAATGGAGAACCATCGAGGTTTCGTCACAATAACTGAGAATTTGTCTCAAGAAGTACATGGAATAAAACTTGGGGGGGGGGGGGGTTAGGTACAATTTCAAACAAATTTCACGCCAGTGTCATAACACGTCATCATAATATATCATCACCATCAAAGTTTAACACACTCTTCCCAATACTTCAATGACTTTGCCAGAGAGCACAATTTCAACATTCGCCACCTTCAAGCTTGGAATTCAAGGGGTGCGCAGTGGTTTGTCGTGCACTCTATGATCTCCATGTTGGACTACATGGGCAGGTAGCCAGCCAGAGACGTATGAACAAGAAAATATGTAATTACATAGTGACAAATGCATTGAAAGAAAAGTTGATTAAATACATTTTCACTCAAAAGCAAAAAATATAAACCAATGCCAACCATCCAAAGCAGTGAAAAGTTTCTTCTATAAATGTAAAATCTTGCAAAAAAGTGCATAATTATAACACTAAACTACAGACATAAATAATATTGGTGCGTGCACACGTTGTATGCAGTCGAGGATGTACATTAAAATTACAAACACTCGTGTGGAAACCACCCGAGACGGCAGCTGTAATTGATTTGTGGTCAGCACCCATGGGGACCTGTGAAAATCATTTTTTTGTGGCCATCACACGAGATCTTGCTTGCCTCAATATCGCTGCAGCAATAGCAATATAAACACGGTTTATTGCAAGTGCTGCAAGCCTGAACTCCCACAGAGGGCAGAGACAAACAAAAGCACCCAGCAAATGCTGAAAGATAACAATCTTTAATTTAGATACTTCAAATGCCAATAATGTCACCCAGAATGCACCTGATCTCGCAACCTAAGCAGGACTGAGCGTGGATAGTGCTTAAGATGGGCGATCACCAAGCAGCAAGCCAGGTTGCAAATGGTGGCACGAAGTTGTGGTATGTGGCTGTCAGCAGTGCATTCAAATCCAGTGCTATACTGTACTTCTATGCTCCTGCGGTTCATCTCACTAACCACGCTCCAAAGACATGACTATCCTTAGCAGAAGAATGCCAAATTGGACGAAGGAAAAATCTTGGTCGGTCATGACAGAGACGTTTAGAAGAGAATCTTTAAGGCAGCAACTCAAAGGTAGGAAAGTGCATGAATTGTAAGTATTGATGCTCGTGTGAACGGGGGAGCAAAGATTTCCATCTGGGCGCATACGTAGAAGTATGTGGTGGGTGTATATGTATAGGGCTCAATTACCACCAAATGAGGACAGAAATAACTTATAGCTGCCAGGAAAATGAACAAACCCACAGTTATTTGGGCACATCAATAGATCCAACAATCAAACCCATCCACAACAAGGCAATATCGAAGGTACTAGAAACAGAGGGAGCGCCAAAGGAAGACTGAGTACAAAATACATTCTAGTCTGTTTACATTACGGCACAATAGTTACCCTCTATCTGTTGAATGCTTCTGTAACTTAATTTTCTAACTGTATTATGATCGGTCTAAAAATAATCTGCCCACGGCCGACTTATGCAAGAGGAAAGGAGCCATCCATTTAGTACGTACGCACGGAGGGGGGAGTTAGCCCAAATGAGTAAGCTTGCGTATTGTGGGTCGACTGACAATATACATAAGCATAGGAAACGGGGGGGGGGGGGGTGAAGCCTCGATAATAATTTGTCCACATTGGCCTACAAATGAGTTAAATAGTCCGGCGGTGGACTATCTGTTTGCTTAAACACGTTAACATAATTAATCCTTGACCATTTCTGCGTGGATTAAATACCAGCCGTTCTATAGGATTCGGCGGGGGGGGGGGGGTGCGTCAAGCAAACGTACGCAGGTGTGGGGGGGGGTGTGTAAAGAGTACGCGTGCGTACAAGGAGGGGGGGGGGGAGGGGTCAATTTTTGACATATTTTGCATACATATTAAATGGATGGCCCCGAATGTATTATTTAATAGTGATTTATGTTCGTGCGACATTTCCAATTTCTCACGTGACACAGTTGTGTTTGTTCAGATTTCTCATTCCTTCACTGGTGTACTTTATTTGCTTTGTATTTGTTATGTTGGTGACCCAGATCACTAAAGCATATGAATACAATCCTTAGTCTTCTGAGTTCTCACCAGATTAAATAACCACCCCCCCGACCCCCCCAGTAACTTGAAACTCGACTTGGATTCAGATCCTTGGCACTGCAGCCGGCTGCTGATTGGCAAGGCCGACGACCGAGGGGGGGGGGGGGGCAAGGTGAAAGGGGAGATCGCGACCAGAGCTGCCCAACGCGCACAGTGGCCCCCCAATGACCTCGTCGTTTAAACCGGGCATGGGAGACGGATGAACGCAAGCAACATCGGGATTCTGCTGAATCTCGCTCCTGCGTAGCGGCGTCTTTACCTGCAAGCACGCGGTTGACGGAAGCGTGGGTGGCGAGGCCCGGCTGCCCCCGCTCGTGAAAGATGCCCGCGTAAGGTAAGTAGTCTGGCAACAGGAACCGCCTGTACAGCACAACACAGCAGAGACGAAACAGTTTTTATAGCACCTGCATTTAAAAACTCAATCCAGCTCCAGGGAGAAGAGAATGGTGGGTAAAGATCATCCTGTCACAGTGGATCACATGAACTCGCAGCGTCTCGTCAAAAGATGTATAGCCTTGAACAGACTTTTGCGCCGAGTGATAGGTGGCGAGCACATATGAATGCCGGCATGACACACAAAGGGGGTGGGGGTGGCCAGCACCATGCTCAGCCACATGTCTCCCAAGTGGCGATGTTCACACAACGCACCAGGTACTCAGTTTAGACTGAGTCGACCTAGGGGAGGCCCAGGACCAGTTCAGATATTTGTTAATGGTGTTGGCTGTGAGCGGGACTTGAACTCGGGTCGCCAGGTTTGCAGCGCAGCATGCTAGCCACTGCGCCACCGCTCCCCATACCACACTTTATATACACACACACGATGTTTCTGTGATACTGCATTGGTCGTGGAACACAAGCAAAAATAACAAAAACATTAGTCAATAATACTGCCCTAAGAGAGTGACTTCTCTGCTTTGGAGGGCCACTTCCTGAAAATGTCAACTTTTGTATTTTTGTTCCTTTTAGGACAGGGTTATTGGTGAATGTGTTAGAGCTCTTTGATATTTATCACAATATGCACGCGCTACACAACCAACCGTGCCCTCTATTAATCTATAGCATATATCCATACACACACATTAAACAGATGCCTGACGGATGCATGTTTATTCTGGGATAGTGTGTATAGGCTTTACTAATGCCCAGAGCAAAACATTTTTAATTACGTGCAAGATTCGGCTGTTCGTGCGCCTGAAACAGGTGTTCACATTCAGAATTTGGCGAGGCCGGCAGTAACATAGCCACAGGCTCAAACCAAGCAGTTCCCTGGATTTAGTCATTGACCGAAATAATTTGCTCTAACAGATGGAACTGACTCATGTCCCAAGCCAGTATCACGCAATGCAGTTGTAGAAGCGCCTAACTGCCTCGGTGGGATACACGTAAGTGTTGATGGAGCGTTTGTCTCGACTATTAAAACGAATGTGTCATGTCTTAAGCCCGTGGTGATGAACAAACGAGTATCACTCTGACTCTCATGAATTACCCACACTTTGGACCGACATCCCACTAATAATCCCACTATAAAACAGGGCTTTAAATACGACGGCTAATAAAATGAACATATATACGGACAATGAACTTTACAAGGTGACAAATAAAATAGACAATGGTTCCAATTGAACGAGGTTAACCACTTCACCACCCATGAAACAGTGGAAACATTTTTAAAGAGGCCGTTATGTTTTGGTAAAGAGACTTAACTGTCAATAAGACAATACACTGAGGCGCTGCAAGAAGTCGATAAACCCAATGAAAGCTTGCAGCAAACCCGGCCAATCCGCAGTCGTGGAGGCCAAGTGGTTATGCACTTTCAGAGCCAACGCAGGGACGCATCAGCCCCTGCGCGTTATCGGATATCGAGGTGTATATACAGTCACGACACCGAGCTCAGGGGACACAGGGACTGTGAGTCAGTGCCTCCATCTCAGTTAATTTTCCCCACTCGCTGCGTAGACCTCCCGGTGCCTACTCCATCGGGCTTCACGTGCTGCTGGTGCAGTGGGGCTGGAAGCTCGCCTCCGGCAAAAAAAATTACCGGTTGGAGTCCCACGCCGACGCTTCCATAGCATCTCCCGATGTGCAATAAATGGTTAGTCTACAGCCAAGTCCCCCCACAAAGTGGAAATTACACACGCTCGCCGGTGTAAATGCAAAACACCCCACTCTAAGAAACTGTAAGCCACTGCAGTGTTGCTCGTGTTGTGGCCATTTATGCAAAGAAGTATTTGTCTTCAGTGTCTAAATGTCCCACAAGAGGGTAATGCGGTGATTATAGTTTAAAAGATATTCAACTAAACACTCCTTATGAAAGCACTCATCACCACATAGCCCGCTTGTGTCTGGCTTAATAACAAAACTTTCCTTGGCGTTGGTGGGGTATTTACAGCTGCTTTAAAAAAACACAAATACACACATTTCGGCTATGGGAGCGGCATCTGAAAGGTCCACCATCAACTTTGGCGACTGAAAAATTGCGGACATAGAAATAAACGTTTTTGGCTCCTTAAAATAGTTGCGTAAAGATACGTGATGCAGCAGTTATTTTGTTATGTAAGCTTGCCAAAGAAGTTAATCAGCAGGTCTCGACATCATTGTGGGGCACTGTCCCCCAGCCAAAGAGCGTGACTGAATTTTACGGCTTTCTATAAAGCATTGTGACGGTGGTGGGGGCCTGGTGATGATATGCTGGCGATTACGGTGGGCTCCACCTCGGGCCGTTTTAACAAATGACCTGTCGGAGGTAACGTCACGCACGGAAGCTCGCTTGTATAAATGGCAGGGCTTAATCTCTAAGGTAATCTGACAAATGCACCTCTGCCAGCTGGTCCCTCACCTTTCTCAACAAACCCATACAACCTCCACACTACAGTGGCACGTATAGGTGAGCGCAATAAAAACGTTCATTCAGAGCACCTTTGTCAATCCACTGCTGGATGAATGTCTCCCCCATGCCGGGTTTGGGCACTTACGATACTTCACCACGCTGGTCAGTGTAGGTTGGTAGAGTGGGGAAGCAGGGTAACAACCCACCACCGCTTCAAATTTCACTTGCCACTGATATTAGCCATGGTCTGGAATCCAACTCAGATCACAGGCTTCATAGCGTAGTGCACTAACCACCGTGCCACCACTCCCGCACTAAAAACTAAATTGCGTCTGCCTCAATAGAACTACACAAGGAACGGGAGGTGGTGAAACAAATCACCTCCCTGGCACTTCTATGAATTTCCATGATACAATTAGATTTATTTTTTTACATTGTGGCTACTGTAGTGGCCTCTAGTGGCTGGAGAGGGCACGTGATCCGATTGCACACATTTATAAATCTAAAAAATTATTGATTCTTCGACGTGGTTTAATGTTATTGTTGGCTTACGAATCGATCTTAATTGATGAATTGGTGCAATGTTACTTACAACCCTACTAGGAACCCACCTGGGGCTTTACAGCTGAACATCAATTGACCAATCAAAGTGCTGCCCAAATGCCAATTCCTGTTCTTGAACTGAAGCACACGCTCGTGTTTTCTTTTTGTACACAAAGATTGCAATGGCAAAATATGATTACAGGGCCAATTCAACCCACACAATGGAGAAACCTTGCACTCACATCACACTGCAACAATTTAGCATCTCATAATAACGGCAGATTTCACAGGACACGATGCTCTCGTGATTATGGCAAAGGCACAACCAACGATCATTACCGCTCGGAACATTGAGAAATTATACAGTTGCCAACATCACACACACAAAAACGGCTTTCCTCGATTTACCATATTCAGTAGTGCCTTTATCGCATCGCGGCGGCGATTAAAATTCGCCGCACCGTTGTTTATTTATTAATCTTCTAATTATCCGGCTGCATATTGAAATGCAATTAGTTTTACCACGCACGTTTTTGGGGAACAATAGTCTTCCTCGGGAAGCGTTTATTTATCGTCTCACAAAATCCAATGGTCGTCTTTCACGGGGGAACTAATCAGCAGCAGTATCCTTGAGCATCTTACCCTTTGGCAGGACAGTGGATGTGTGTTTATTCTGCAGAAATGTGTAAAATGCTTCTCATAAGATACGCCCATGGAGAACTCATAATCAGAAATTTGACAAATCACACCTCTCCGCTCACCCCGCTGGGGGAGGGAAGTCTTAATCTTTCTTACCCCATCTCTCCCAGAAGGCTAAAGCCATTTCGGCACCGTAATTCAATTAGAACAAGAAAATGTTGACTTGGTTATTGCAAAGTATGGCTCCAAAATCTCTAGCACCTGCTGTTTTTGGATCTTCTACCAAAAACAGGGCAGAGGAAAAAGGCTACGCAGATCTGTTACTGTGATAGCCAACACGATGAGGAATGTTCCCTCTACATAGTTCTGAGGTTTTGGGTCTTCACAACACGCAGTTATTTATTAATTCGGTGTTTAGCACAATTGTAGAAGAGCTGGCTAGCACAGTTTTTAAAATGTACATGTTGTAGATAACTAGGACAGCAACCTTTGTGTGCCAAAACAACCAGGCCAAACCTGGTTCTCAACAATATGCTGACAAAAACCCATTGAAACTTGGCCCTCTTTTTTGGCCTTTAATAGAATATTAATAGCGCCTATTATGGCCAAACTAAATGATCGATTAACGATTCACCTGGAATGCACCTGAACCGGTCTGATCTCGGAAGGTAAGCAGATTTGTGTCTGGATATTGCAAGGATGGGCGACCTCTCGGAAGGTAAGCAGATTTGAGTCTGGATATAGCAAGGATGGGCGACCACCGTGCATAGCAGGAATTATATGCTGTTGGGCTACGTGGTGGTCAGACAGTGCAGAGAAATCCATTGTTGTACTGTACTTCTATTCCCCCTCATCTACGTTTCCCCGCATTCACCAACCAGCATGGACCAGCGTGGCAAGTTTTGGTCAAATAACCCCCACAATCTGCATGGCTGAGAGGAGGACCTCATACAGCAGTGGATGACATGGGGGCTTTACATGTACAAATGTTCATATTTAGCCAATACTGTAGTTTCAATGGAGCCAGCCCCAGGCTCAGGACCTTTCGACTCCCATGTGCTGATGCTGATGCAGTGTTCACGGGCACTTGCGTTAGGGGGCCACACACAGGTACATGCGGAGCCAGGTGACGGTGATTAAAAGCAGTAAATCCAGCTGTGCTTATATCCAAAGTGTGCTTGTATCAGAAGTTGCCTTTCATCTTCCCTGCCCCCACCCCATCAGTAAAATGGAATATCATAATGTGCCTATATCCAGCTTCAACTGCACATGGAATTTCAGCAATGATAATGTGTACTTAGCAGGAGGCGGCAGAGTGGTGGGGGAGGAGGAGTTGCACACCTTTACTTTATTATCTTTATGCAATCACAAAATACCTTGCTCAGTAATGACATGAATGCGGGATCATCAATGTCCGTGAAGAAACCCCACTTAAAATTCCGAAAATCAAACATTAAATCCGTGAAACAAACAAGACTCAGAGCATCCTTTTCGCAGTAAACGATGGAGGGGGAGCCCGTCGCAGGGCAATGGACGGAGCGTCACCTGGCGCGGAGGAGTTTTCTCGTCTCACCTGGGGGTGAAACGGCCGAGGGATGGCACAGGCAGGCGCGATCGGGGAGCAACACGCGGCCGTGACCGCTCGCTCCCGCCATCGCTAGAAGTGGGCCACACACACGGGGGAGAGGAATGGAGAGAGAGAGAGAGACGGAGGAGAACAAGGGAGATGGGCGGGGGCAGACAAGGGAGAAAAGGGGTTGGACGATTGGGAGATGGATCGAATGGATGATGGAATTGGGGTGAAGATCGTGGGAGAACGAGGTAGGGGGGGAAAAGGGGAACCGGGTGACTGGAGAAAAACGATCCAACACGTGTGTGTGTGTATGTGTGAGCATACAGCTATCTCGACCCACAGGGGTCAGCAGAGACAAAAATTATGTCTGCAGCCAAGCTGTAAGGCCACGAGATAAAGGCCAGCCAGCACACAAGACCAAATTGAACATAATTAAATAACAGCAAAATCACAAATAATACCCTTACATGTGCTTGTAGTTACGAATATTTTTTGCTTCACCTAAACTTTAATGGCGTTAAATAACGCCCGTGGGGTTTTCCTCTTAACGCGTGCGCTTTTCCAAAAAAAACAGCAGCGCACAAAACAAAACCAATGAGTGCCATTTACAATATTACTTGACAGTGTTTTATGAAAAAGGATGACAAAGAAAACAAGTGGCAGGAATGTTCACACAAACCCATCGCACCGCCTTCTGAACTGATTAGCGAGCGCACAGGCGCCACCAAACTGTGCCAGAGTTGTGCCGGCTCCCGCGGGGGACAGGGGACTACGGGGCGACCCTCCGGCACTGCCGAAACCCACCGAGCGTACCCCGCTACGCTGGGATAAATCAGGGCTGTTCACTATCATCCTCCGGGGAGGCGCTGTTCTCTCAAAGCACCATCTTTTTTTTTAAACCTTCTATTTCATAGCCACCGGCCCCAGCCTGCCTGCTGCACCCATTACTTACTACGACAGCTTCATTTTCCGAATGCTGCTCTGCCACATCAATCACGGGGGGCCTCAGCACACAAGGCAGGAGTGCTCAACCACTCTCCATCGAGCCTCCGGCTTGGCTCCCGAAACTTAAAGAAAACTCGCAAAATGACACTGGCATATCTCTCAATGGTCAGTCACCGTACCCCCCAAACCTGTCAAAGTGGTTGGCCCAATGAACTTCCTCCAAAACCCTTGGAACAAAAGCGGTGAATCTTTCTACACCAAAACCATCCACTTCTCATATGTTTGCCTTCCATTGAAAAACTAAAACTCAAAGAGAATTACTCAAATTTCTCACAATCCATGAGCACTACTTAAAGATTACGGCAAGTACATCGCTAATGTGGAATGTTGTGCATAACCATCAATTTTGCTGGAAGCTATCACAAAGGGCATACAATATGATTGAGTACATTTCAAAATAAGTTCTGAAAGAAAACTACATTACAAAAGCAGAAGCCACAACTCAACAAAATACAGCTGAATAAACACCATAAGCCTTTGGCTTCTGTCATTATAGGCTACGTTAAGCTGCATCAACTGCCGAGTTTCATTATACATGCTGTCTCTTGCATTCTCATAGCGTGATAGACTTCCGATATTATAGAAAAATGCATTCAAAATTCTGCTACATTAAACACTATCTCTCCTTGTCTCGCTATTCTTGTACATGCTATTTCTATCAAATGTCCTTCCCCTCGAATGGTAAGAAATTGCATCCCAGCATTCGTCAAGTTTTTAAGAAGCCAAAAAAACAACATTCAAAACACCGTCAAGCCCGGCAAAGTACAAATGCAATACATAGTAGCTGTACAAGTGCATACAAAGACAGCACCCTTGGATAAAAATGTATATAACATGTAGAATTAAAAAATATTGGTTTCTTTCAGAGAGTAATCAACGTAAAGCGACTAATGAAACAATCAAGTTCAGCCACCATCTGCCAGGTAATTAGTTTCATTTATTTTTTTATCCATGAACAGTTTTATTAGCACTTCCCCAATACTAAATTAATAACAAGATTAAAAGCTCAGCATATATTTTAATAAAGGGCCTTAAAATTCACCTGCATACATGATGGCCTGTGAGGATTTGTTAACATACAGATCATGCCACTGTTCCTGTGTACATAGCCAAGTAAATTAGATATAATTATGCATAGCAGCTTAAAAATACATATAAAACATTTACATAGAATTACACAAAAAACATTCAAAACCTATCACCAATTATAACACCTCCGTTGGCCTCAATAACGAATACAGTAGAGCATTATGCACAAAACAAACTGGCGATTCCTGCAATATGTATTCATACAAACATAAGACGCTTATGTTTTATTAAAGCAGTGCTACCCTCAATGTAATTGCAAAACTGCCCGCAAACCGTCACAGCGAATGACGTCACCTGGGCCCGCTTAGCATGTAGAGCTTTGCAGGTTGACCTAAACAAAAATATGCGGCAACAAGCAAACATTGGATTTATTTACATGCATTTTACATGCATATTGGATTACCCGGCCTTGGATCATTTAAATAAGCAACAGCCCTTCACAAAAGATTTGCACAGGCATAGAGCCCCCCCCCTTTGTCGCACAGAAGTCACGACGGCGACTCCACGAGCGATCACATCCAGTCGCTGCTGCTGCTGCTGCTGCTCCGCCACCAATTTCAAAGCTGCGAAGGAGCGCGACATTTCTTCGAACGTTACGACTTGGTCCGCGGAACATCAACGCGTTTATTTTTCCATTTGACGCAATTACATCGGGAGCATATGGTGGCAAGTGCACCCCCGGTTGGATTGGGTGACATTTAGACACCGCCACACATTCTGTGGGATCTGGGGGCCTTGTAAATAGAAATGCAGTACACGGCGCACAGCTGCAAACACCGTGGGGGGTCCCTATTATAGCTAATGAGTTTCCACGCAACAGGTGTGCACACGGTATAAATGGCGCACTTATTTTACGATGCTAAAAAAAACCTAATATAATAATAACAACGGCTTCTAATAATTGCTTCGAAAGATACAGAGTCCACTTGCGTATGGCAAACGACAACTTGCTAATGGGGCAAGCAATACATTTTCCTAAACGGGGAATGGCTTGTTGCGGTGTTCCTCGCGCAAACTGTCGGGGGGAAAGAAATGGGTAACCGAGTCGACGAAAAACAGCTTGGGCGTGAGAAATAGTGTCGACAAGAAGCCAAGACAGATGGGCAGGCGGTAAGGGCGGGGCGCCACGGTGGGATAACGACGCAGAAAGATGACACGGGGGACCTAAGTGAATTACACTTTTATCGAGCTTGATGACAACGGAGATAGATATGAAATTGAAACTTGTCCCCAATCATATTTTTTTTAACTTGTTATCTAATTTCATAATCAACAAATACATAACCAGCCAAATACATTAATATATAATGGGGGCCTTTGCAAGTTAAGCTTTGGGGACACTGAGCAATGTGGCAGGAAATAGGGAGCACCTGGTACGCTAGGCCACGCGTGAATCACTTGAGTCAATGTAAACGACCTCATGTCCCTAGGGCACTGATTGCCAGGCATTACAGTTGATTGACTATTTAGGCGCTAGGAATAATAAACTACTTTAAAAAGTCCGTGTTTCAAAATGATATACACTTTGTTTTTGCTATGGCACAAGTCCAAGTCGAAATAATATAGTGAACGGTCAAATCAATGTTTTTTAATGGAGACCATTTCGAGACGATTACATACTAAAGCTCCAACAGTATGAGGACACGATATGCTCATACTGATGAAACACACACTATATCCCCAGCACTTAAATGTTGTTCGTGCACGGGACTTCTTCTCGTCCATTTTCAATACAGAGCAAGTCGCCTTGCCGATTGAAACGCATTAATTTAAATGTCACATTGAATGTTTAATGCTCGCCACGAACAGGCAGGATTAATGTCACGACATCCGCACAACGGATTATAAATGAGAACAAATAATATGGTGCAATACCATTATTGGCATGCTGCTTTCAAAAAGCATCGCGGAAGGCAACGTTGTTGCTAATTTGCGGCACAATGCCTACACGTGAGCTGTGCCTTAGGCAGGCCAATTCATATTTTGTGCATCCTAGCGAGTCCCTTGTGGCCCTTCAGGAGCTTCGTCTGTATAACCCTTCTCTACCCAAGCCGCCCGAAGGAGTGAGAGGTGATTTACTTTGAAAGACAGCAGTTTGTAATGAAGTATATGCCGGCCAAACGCATGCCCCCGTGGGCTAAACACGTTACTTTGAACAATCAATGTGCTTTTGTAACGCTACAAATTCTAACGAGGACAACTACAACAATAGAGGAAGAACAGGGTGGGGTGGAGGGGAAAGAGTGGCATACGGGAGGCAGTGTCATTTATTCACACATTATCCCTAGATTGGCATGCTCCTTAACCGCCACGGGCCTTTTGTGACTCCTACTCAAGATAAAATAGGCTGACCGGTGATATGAAAATTGCAAGCCGGTCCCTAAAGTAGATTTACAAGCAAAACAGAGGGGCTCAACGCGGCCACAGCAGATGAAGGCCTTGAAGAGCTATATTCTCTTTTTGGCTGGGATAATGGGGGTCACGCTGAGCTGTATTCAAAGTGACAGGCGAGCAAGCGAGGCTCCGTGCACCAATACAGCGCCACCAACACCTTGTTATGACTCGAGATTGTATGCGCCGGAAAAAGGCACCCAACACTGTTTGGAGAGAGAGAAATCCTGCGTGCGCTTCTAAGGGTAAACAAAACGAGCAAGCAGCTCGCCGTTGCGCACTTAGGTCGTGTCTAGCGTTGTTCGCTCGGCGCGTCCGACGTTTCGCTCTAAGCGCTGGAAGCTTGTTTGGGAACTGAAGAAGCTCCCGGGCTTGCCGTAAAACACATACGGCACAACCCAAAAAACACGTCAGAGAAGTATACAGCACGACCGTAAAAAGCTACGCACGCTGTTTAAAAATGAGGAGAGTCTTCTTTGTGGATGGCATCAAGAAGCCTGTTTGCATATCTAGACTAAAGGTGGACTTACAGATTAAAGATGTAAAGGTGCGAGAATGGAACCCAGCAAGAACTGGGACAATGTACAAAACAAGTAAAAAAAAGTACAAAACTTGTCACGAAACTTAAAAGTGCACGTCAAAAAAAAATACCATTTCACAAAAAGGGAACTCGTGTAAATATTTTTAAACGGATATTACATAAAAGGAAACAACTCAAACACAACAAACAAAATAACTACATCGAAAAATCTAAAAACAGGATAATACATGTTTGAAATGAAAATCTTCAGAGGGACTTCAATACATCAAACGAATAACTCTTCTACATTCGTTTTGGAGTTCTTGCACTCAAGTGGGAATGTGCTGCATTTTTCAAGAGTCAAAATGTGCATCACTTGATACAAAACTAAAAGGCAATTTGAACCTATCTGCATAGGTTCATCCGTCTTGAGAAAAAAAAAACGACGAAAAAAGGGATGGGTATCAGAAAACAAATTAACCTCTTTTACAGCTGCATGGTATACAAATTCTATCAATTTTGGTTTGCTTTTGATAACTTAATTGGGTGGCAAAACAGCTCCACTCCTGTTAAGATACAATTAAATAACAATTTTCAATTTGTCTTATTTATCTACCTAAGGGCATGCGGAGATAAAAAATAACACTCATTTGCAAAGACAAATCAAGGAGGATTATACAAAGGCATACACATTGTATTAACACTTAAATGTAGGTATTGATCATAATGCCTTTGACCAATCCCATCCCATCCTTGGAAGCTAAGCAGGCCTGAACCTGGATAGTGCTTGGATAGGCAGCCACCAGGCAAAACAGATCGTTATAGGCTGTGGGACTACGTGGTGGGTGGCAGACAGCTAAAAAATACATTGTTGTACTGCACACCGATGTTCCTCGCCTTCACTCACCCACTGGCCAGTGTGTACACCAAAAACACCCCCCAGCGACACGCAGTGTTGGGGAGGCCCTCATCTAGCAGTGGATTGACAAAAATGACTGTACCGCACATGCGGAAGAGATGCAAGATGAAATTGGAGAGTTTGGAGGTCAATAAAGGACAAGAAATTAGTAAAATAAAAATAGACAAGGAAATGGGAAAGGCCTTTGCCAAGCAGTGGGGAGTTAAATGCTGCCAACAACAGCAACTGTCTATCCAGCGCCGTTTTTGCACGTTGAATTTGGCCTGCGTGACTCCTGATTATCTCAAATTCCCCCTTTTGTTCTGACGTCGTGAGATGCGCTCCGAGGCACAGTATGAGCAATAAACTATGATGGTGGTGGTGCTGTCAGAGAGGAAGGGTGAAGACAGGTGGGAGAGGGGGCGGCAAAATGTGGCGGCACTCACTCGGGTTCATCGTCGTCGTTGAGCCCCGTATGGGACACGGCTGGGGGTGCGGCGCCCCCCTCCCCGTGCCGCACGTGCTGGTAGCGCAGCACGCGCTGCCGGATGCTGTCCCTGCGCGTCAGGTGCTGGATGAGCCGCTGGGCGTAGTAGGCAGCGGGAGACAGCCTACCCATGGCAGTACCACCACCACCGTCGATGACGGTCGATTAATAACACCAACAACAGTTACAAACACGCCGAGTTGTCTTGGGAGAGATGCAACCTCACTGGATTCTATCAGAATGTCGAATCGTCTGGCGAAGGCATAAATTGATGGCCGACGTACATCGTCCTCCTTTGTCAATCAACTGCTTGGATTGGTTCTTTTTTAGTTACGTTCATTTTGTTGAAACCAGACGATAAAAAGAGGCCAGGATGGTCTCATTTTCAAGGGTGGTCTGGGTCATCAAAACAACAAGAGTAAAGCCTTGGATTAAGGTTTTCCCACACCGTCATGGAGGCTGTTTGACCATACTTCGCCAAGCTGATCAGTGCACACTCGTGAAGTGAAGGGAGGGGGACTGGAACCAGCTAAAATCACTCGCCCTGGATATTAGCAGTGGCCAAGATACAAACTCAGGTGACCAGTTGTATATCTCTATGCACTAACACACTGAGCCACTGATGAATTTTATAACGCCAATACAAATTTCCACTACATTCTGGAATTTTTTTAAATGCAGAGCCCAAACCACAACTTAAAATAATTGAGCATATACCATACATGCATAATTAAATCTGTTGTATCCCATATAACAATTATGTTGAGAAAATGTCAACAAATTTTGTTATACAATACTCTACCTATAGTCATACTTCAACACATACATTATTCAGAACAACAAAGAAGCTATAATATCAAATTAAGTGTTCCAAGAGAACTATATCCTATTCTCACTCACCTCTATTTCCTCAATTTGACACCAATACAGCTTCAATAATCATCATGGGTATACATAAGCCGCTGTTTCCCAGTTGAATTCCCCAACAATGATTTATTTTACGAGCTTGTTGCATGCAACTTCTATTTTGGTCATATTTACCCAATTTTGCAGCCCACATTCTGGGCTGTTTCAATCACTTCCTGCGGTTCCATTTGGACATCGGTGAAAAAGAGCTTCATAGCTGAGCAGATTCCTCGAGTCTAAATAAAGATTCTGATTCTGCACATCCAAGGCAATTAATACTTTGTCCAGGCATTTTCATCCCTTTATTTCTGGAATCTGTTTTTCTGAAAATATCTTTAAAAGTTGCTTGTGAATTGCCACGGTGAGAGCGTGCGTATCTCCTTGCTTCACTCCTCGTGATTTTTTTTTACTTCGCTAGTCTCATCACGCAACGGCAGTGTAGCTAATTCTAACTTTAGAAATGGTCTTAATAATTTCCCAATACTCTTTTTGTGATGGCCTTGGATCTGTGAGAGTTTAGTTGACTAACCAGTTTCCACTGAATAAGGTCTTTTTATAGACTAGAAAAGGCTGATGAACAATGGTATTTGAAAATGTGTCCTTTTACCGACAACCAATTTGAGAATGAAAAGCAAAATACCACTGTGCTTCAAGAAGAAATTCTTCAATCGGCGCACATTACCCAGTATGACATGGATCAGAAAGAGACAAGGACAAAGAATATGGAACAAATTTTAACAATGAATAGACAAAAAGAGAAACACGTATTAGGGAAACAAAACACAAGTTATGCATTTCAAATTGACCGTGAAGAAAAAAACAAGGGCTTTGGGGGGGGGGGGGAGGCAATATTGCTAGAAGGACTGATGGGCTATGAATGACACCAAAAGGTAGTACTCCTGACAAAGCAGCAAACACGCCTAAGAGTATGACTGCCGTGAAGATGGAGCGACGAAATCTGCTCGTTTGCAAGAGTGACACAGACCGTGTCATAACAGCAACGCGTGGGATGACGAAGGCGTGGAGAGGGCTTCCTGCACCAATGGACAGAACTTGGGCGGATAATGAAAGAAGCTGTATTGTGTTCAGAATTTTCAAGGCGACTTTTTTTAAGCGCTAAGGCTGTTGCGGTTACGTAACACCTGACACATTTGGACAGATAAATAGATGCAGTGAACTATGACATCATGTGGAGGCTTAAAAGCAAGAGATTCATAAATGAAAATTAATAATTATTCCATGCATCACAGGGCATCTGACACAATCGTCATTCATAAGAGCACACCCATTATCACGAGGCACCTGAATCAAGGCCATAAGTGACACAGGCAAGGGCATTACTTTCATCTTCACTTCTGGTTGTTGTGAAGAGTGGGTTGTTGTCTTAAGTTGAACGCTTTTTTCTCAATTGATGTCACACACAGCTCTCTTGAAATAACCAAATGACGTCAAAATCGCTTCAAATTAAATTCTAATTTTCTCCGCTGCAATACGGAATGTAACATATTGTCCCTGGGTACAAAAATTTCTGGCCTCTTATGAAGAATATTTAGAAACAATGCTCGATTCAAAATTGCTCCTTCGGTGACAGAAAAATTGGCTCAATTGCATGCTACTGCAGTTACCAATATTTACCCGGGGCTCTTTTCGTACTCATGCCAAACTTTATTCGAAATAATAATTCAGTTAAATGTGGATTACTGAGATGGCTTGAATAAAATCCCCCTTGAGAAGTGGCACATTGCCTGCATAACTAAATCCAATGACCAATTACCCAACAATTTCCTGTGTGCAGTGGGTGGTTTGGGCACGAGCTTACCAGGCTTGCAGTTACCGGGATCGAACGTTGCACAGAAACATGCACTTCAAAAGTTAAACTTCGTATTTTTTTGGTTTATTCACCAAAATTAATTATTTTCAGAATGTATGCATGTATGTTGAACTTATTTTGCACCGTACATAACCAACCGTGCTAATTGGAAGTATGTGTTTTTGATATGTATCTATTTATTTATAAGATTAAAAAAATGTAAATGGCAACCGATTATTCTTTTAAGATTTTAGTCCGATACTAAATGCTATTTTGAGTTCATTAATCGTTTTGTAGATGACCTCCTGGTTCCTAGGTTGGACGTTACATGTGCCCTCTGTTCCAAAGCAGATTATACAAATTATATTATTTGCTGATGCTGCATTGGCAGTGGTGCACAAGGAAACATTACCAACAACAACCGCCATACGCCACTAAGTGGCGGTGATGTCACCACGGCGCTTGTGCTAGGCTATATGCACGTTAAGGCCACGTGAAGTGTCAAACGCCCTCTGGCAGGAGTTCACGGGACAGACCCAGGTGCCATGGGTTGACTGACTGGGATGACTAGGCGATGCACCACCTGTTTCCCCTACTGTGCAAACTTGCTGTGTTTTAGCCACCCGGCGCTCCGCTTGTTGGCTTTTCACAGAAGATGTCAAACTTCTTTCACACCGTACTTAGCCAACAGTGCTAAGTGGAGGTGCGGGGGAAGGACAACAAACTAAACACAAAAAGCAGTTCTAAAAAAGATGAGTTTTCAATTTAAAATACATTCATGGACTGCAACGCACCATATACATGGCTTGTCCTAAATTTGCAAGATAATTATATTTGGAGGTGTGTTATATGTACAATGTCAAATGTGCATTGTTTTCCAGTGTTAATTCTAAAACAAATGTAAGCTTGTGATAAAAGTATTTGATTGAGAAATAAAACTTGTTGTAAATCAATGCGTTCCTTCATGTTGGAGGTGACTGCGGCAAAACTATAAATTTCCACTAAAACTACCAATTAGGGAGACCCTAAAGATGATCTAAGGGGCATGACAAAAGAGATAAAGTCACAAGCTGCACTAAAGTCACATTAAGGTACATTTTATAGTTACAGTGGCATTATAACAGGGGGGAAAAAAGCTTGAACGCATAAAGCCAATTTTTAAGTTTAAGAACAGATAATCTCACTCGAAAAGACGTAGCCACAAAGGCAATTTGACACTTTCATATGCATGACTGCAAGCATGCTTATTTCCACACACACATAAATGTTAAGATGGCCTCTCTAAACTTGAGCGCATGTATTATTATTAAATGGCATTTGAGAGTATTATCTCGCACTCATTTTTTCTTTCCTTCCTTCCTTCCCGCCCCCCCCCCCCCCCCAAGTGTTCCACGGTGCAATGAATATAATCCAATTTTCCAGCCACAGGCGGCAGGGAACGTGGCAGAGAATGCAGATCTTTTTTATCGCCAACCATTAATCCCGACATCAAAACCTGTCTAAAGAGGTCGCAGATGTTCCTATGAAAGGTTACAAGCCACAGCTTCAAAAGTGTGTCACCGAAGCAGAACTGCGCGTTATTTCGGCCCCAACAGGGATGAAACAACTCCCTCCTTGAAGGAATATTGGAAGGGTTTACTCCTGAGAACTGTTTTACACAATAAGATAACCGCACGGCCCTGCATCATACCTCCAATTACATAAGGACGTCCCCGTCTGCCCATTAATATAGTATAAACTTTTTTAAAGCAATACTATAATTCAACGCGTTTTTTTAAATTTCAACAGGCCGCGTCTTTGCTGTGGATATACAGGAAAACCTCGCCGAATGCGGGGGGGGGGGGGGGGGGTTGCGTTCCTAGAAAACGCCGAGGTTGGGCAAAACCGTCTTCGACAAATAACAGATAAGGTTACATTCTTGAGTCTGAAATGATCACCCCCTCCCTCTTTGCTCAACTAATTCTACATGATGTTCCTCCACTTTGTCTCAAGTAAAAATAAAAATAAGAAACAGACTACATGCAAATAGAATAACATTAAATACAATCAGACGTAAAATGTAATAAAAAATAAGTGAAAGAGGTTTTTCTTTACTTACGATGAATGATGATGGTGAAGATATAACTTGACACGCTCATGCGCAACACAAATGTTCACACGCACTGCCACCATGCATCTAACCATCCCCTTGTTGAAAGATTCGGTGTTACGGGGCAAGCGTCGGTTTGGCAAGTCGGTGCGAGGGGGTGAGCGCGTTGGGCTGGCAAGTCGGTGTGAAGGGGTGAGCGCGTTGGGTGCCAATGCGTTTGGTAGGAAAAGTGATGGAGACGGAGATTGTGTGTCGAGGTAAAATTGGAAGAAAAAAAAGTGTACAAACAATAAATGGGAAGCTACTCAGCATCCTTCATTACAAAGATGATGATATTGGTGGGGGGGGGGGGGGGGGGGGGTGTTGTAGGGGGTTCAGGTTTTAGGGCTCAGTTGAGAGAACCCTGAAACCATTCAGGAGAGTGCCGAGACGGCAGATGAAAGGGTGAGGTGGCTGGAGACCTGACGTGTGTGCGCGCGAGGCCGAGGGTTGCGACGATGCTGATGGCGGTGGGGCTGAGGGAGCGTGCTGGCGGTGGGGACACTACTTTAGAAAGACACTTGACGATTGACCTTCGTTCGCAAAATATACAGTACCCATAATATAGGGTTTCTGTTTTTGGGGTTGGATTGCGTAAATATAAATGTGTCGTTAAACCCACCACCACCCAACAGCCAATGAGTAAGGTTTGTCACGTAAACAGAACGTACCAATGTGTTACTAGTACGGCACACCGCTGTGTTGGAGAAAAGCCACAACCTTGACAATCCCGAGTATAACGTTTCGCCAATAAGTACAACTAGCATCATCAGGCGACAGACAGTTTTGTGGAGACATCCTCCTGTTTCGTTCCTTAGAGGGATGGATGTGATGATGTCACTTGTGAGACCTTCACGTGTGAAAGGGGGATATTAATGAATGCAAATAAATTACAATGGGTATACATTGCCAGTTGGGCTATTCATATGGTCATCAACGCACATTATGCATGCATATTATGCATGCAAATTGTTCTTGTACCTCCTGTCATTTGCGTGCAATAAAAAACAGTACCTGTTATTCTCTCCGTACAGGTAATCCCCATTGATGTACAGGTATGTATTTAAACAATAAATTATATGATGATTCGCTTCCAAGCAGCACTAAGCCTGTAGCTATCCGAAAGGTTAAAATTATTTTAATTTCTCTCAATTTCGATAGATTATCTAATTAGTCTTGGCCAGTAGTAATTAATTTTGCACAGAGCTTCAACATTATCAAAATAAATTGAACGTCCTTCTTGGCACGCGTGTGCTGCCACTGCCGGCAGATGTATTTGGAAGTATTTAATATTACTTTGGGGGTTCTTTTAGTCTCGTGCTGACCATTCGTCCTGTCTGCCCAACAAACATATACAGTAATGTAGAGTACAAGCGGACCGCACAGCATATACGGCACAATACCAGCAGACTGCGCACTATTTTTCGACGCGGAGATGAGAACCTTAGCAGCGACAAACCGCGCAGAGCTGAAATATCACCCGTGTGTGTGTTCTAGAAAAGAGACCCCATTAAGCAAACCGTATATAGTCGAAAAATGCGTTCGACAAAGCCGCGTGTTCAGGGAGATTTTCCTGTACCAAGTCCCCACGATTTCATTGTGGGATTTAAACTCATTTTAATGCGAATTGTGTTTTGGACTGAAGCAGACGAGTGAGTGATCTCCGTGTACTTTAGTACCAAGGGCACGACCATTATATATTTCCTTCTCTGACATCAACAGTGGTTTAGGATAAAGAATGACCAAGAAATTACAGGCTCTTTTGTTCAATTGAAGTAATTACGAAGCTGTTCAGACCCTACACGGTAACAAATCGAATCGTAAAGTGGTACATTATGAGAACATACTTCACTTGCAAGTAAAACAAAGATTACGTTTCATGCCAGTGGCAAAGTTTGCAATTTTATATTAAAAATCATAAATTTAGATTTAACAATTTCCTACGAGAAACCCCCTTTAAAAAGTATTCATGCAGAAACAAGTGCAGACCATTAAACCACAGACTTTCATAGCTGCAGCAACTGCACTTAGATTTTAACTAACACCCAACCTTTGAAATATTTTGGTCAAAAGCAACAGTTCCTTTCTAGAGACAATTCTGCTTGTAGACGTCAACGACTCACTTGTGCTTCAAACGCAAATGTGGCTGATAAAGCCGCCCATCTGCAGAGCAGTTCATGCGGCATATTCTCACGAGGGGAGGACAGAGCTGGCCACAGAACTTTGCCACTAAGAAAAAAAACACGTCGCACCTCTTTGCTCAGTCACAATGTTGGCAACAAAACGATTACGATTTCGTAATCGTGACTACTATTTCGGCATCTTAGGTCAGCAATTGAGTGGCAAGGTTACCCTCGTCAAAGTAGGGTGCAAGTTCATCTCAATATACATAAAATAAGTACCTTATTACAAACAGCTATGAAAATCAAATACTGATGTGCAATACAATTTGGGGCTTAAACTAAGGACGTGTAATTTGCTACTAAAATGTCCTCTAGATTTCAAGTTGCAAGTATAACAACGACCTGAACTGAAACACGAAGTGCTCTGACAGTTTGAAAATGTCATTGTGAAGGTTTAATAAAAGCCATTCTTTCTACTCACAAAATTCAGTGGATGCAACTCTAAATGTATAAGTAATGCTGCCAGGTTGTGAGGCCAGCCCATTCATTATTTTGTCCTTTAAAGGAGGCAATAACGCTTTTGTAAAAAGACAGTTCTGAACAACAGTCATAGCCACGAAATACAAACGACAGACGTGATCATCACTTTCAATACCGAAGACTACGCCAGGCACAAAACAAAACGAGGCTCAATGAGAAGATGCGTCACTGCTCGCATTTCCTTTTTAGGCAGGTTTCGGTCGTGATGTGAACAACGGAGGACCCCTAAGTGACAGTTTCCAAGCAAGCGGCAGTGGGGATTCATGGAGTGCAAAGAGACACGTGGGATTGAGTGATGGTAGAGTGCATAGCACACGACACAACGAACCTGGCGACCTGAGATCGATTCCCTATCATGGCTAACATCAGTGACACAGACAAACTGAACAGTGGTCCCTAAATGGTGACAACAAATCAAATAATCATGAAAAGGGATGATACATCAGTTTTAATTTCAGCCTATCATCAGTCTATAAAAACTTCACACAGAACAAGCCCAATCTTGTCAAATTTTGGAAGCAAAGCAGGCTTGATGCTGGATAATGCTTGGATGGGCAACCACTGCGCATAATACACGTGCCATAGGCTAATGCGGAACTACAATGTCAGCACCACGCAATCCCACTTACGGTAACGCAAAAAGACCAGCGTGCAGCGCCCTGACCGGCAAGCCATGGGAAAGCCCTCATCCAGCAATGGACAGATAAAAGGGCGGTGCATGTGGAGGCAGACAACGCTATCAGGCACAGGGCAGAACAGCTGGCGCCCACCTGGCTGGGTCGGGGTACAGAGGGTGCTCCCTGGCCCCGACGCCATCGAAGCTGGTGATGGCACGGGCGAGCGCGGCCGTGGACGGGCTGACAGTTTCACGCTCCGTAGCCTGCAAGAGCCTCCTGTAATGCAGCAACATCACGGGGCATAACGCCACACGGCCAAAGAGAAGTGACCGCATCGCACTGGTAAATCAGCACAGGAAATGAAATTCCACAGATAATTGCAAGTTTTGTAACCGGTAGGCAAATAGGAATCTCTTTGGCAAATTTACCATCACTGTGCGTACTTACACCATAAAGCGATTTAGTTTCAATTTGCGGAAGGCTAGAGAAGACTTATTACGGTCCACGCTGACCGCAAATTCTCTGTATGATCTTGAACGTGACGATAATCAAGGGCGACTCCTCGGCACCGTGCTTATTTTTAACACTTCAGTTAACCATCAGCAACTGATGACATGCCACCATATATGGATACAGGAGAAAAACATGAAGCCAGGTTTATGTAATGAGCTGCATATTATATGGGTTTTTTTTAGCTGTGGGCTATCTTCCATTTTGATTTAAAAACATGTTTTATGACACTTGCATGCTAAAATAAGCCCAAACATTCAAAGACCCTGATGTAGGCCCAAAAAGAGATTGGCTATAACAAGACGAAAAATGTAGGGCTTGGGAGAAAAGCTCATTAGCCACTTAATAAAAGACTTCCTCAGGAGGTCAATTTAAACCAGACAATTGTAGCAGTTTTCACTTCACAAATGCAAAAGCAATTAGGTGACAGCATAATTCACCTTCTCAATTATTCACCTTAAATTGACCTCATTTAAAATGCTTTTACAATTCATTTTGGCACAATTCATGTTCAGGAAACAATTCACCAAGCGGGCTCAATAAATGAGCTTCAGCACGCGGGGTTCAGAACCACTGCGGTCCTCAAACAAAGGCGGTGGAAACACGTTCATTGGTTGCGCAACATTTAATAAGCGGACAATTAACACACGGAGATAAATACGGATGCAAACATCCAAAAAAAATATGCAACATAGTTTATAAATTATTACATTTCACCAAGGTTATGATTTAGAGAACGCGCAAAATAGCTTTTGGTAACATAACAAGCGTGTCCCTTATTAGTCACTACGGGTCTATGTTTAATTACTTGCACCAGTGCAGGGTTTGCCAATACATTTAATATCGGGGAGGCCAACAAAACAGGCTCCTTGGAAACGTCTGTTTTGCCGAACCTCCCTACAGCGGCCTCACCAATCAATCATTATCAAATTAATGCAGGCCACCACTGCCACCACGAACAAAAGAACAGCTGTGTCCAAAGAAGCCAATTCTCCCAGCACTCTGAGACACTGGATTTAATTATAATGGGACCTTTATGCCAGTACCAAAGTATGAAAAAATATAATTAAAACGTGTGGTTAATACAGTAACTTGATTCCTTGAAAAAGTTATCTATTTGGTGTTTGAACATCTTAACACCTGTTTTATTGCCAGAAATGGGTAAAACATATTCTTATTTTTCATACTGGATTTAATTGTTTGTGGTCAACATTCGTGGGTGCTTAATCTAGGCCTTGCCACTGTTGCCAATAAAGTTATAAATCATCGCCACAATACGTGACTTTACCGAAAGAACCAAGAATACCAATTGTATTGTTATTATTTTATAATAAAAATATTAAAATATTTGAAATATTTTTTTTATTATTTTATAATAAAAAAATATAATAAATAAAAAATATAATAATTTTTTATTATTATTTTATTTTATGATACAAATATTTTTTACTATTTTATTGTTTCCCTTCTACATGACTTTACCAAAAGAACCAAGAATATGAATCCCTGCAGTCACTAAAGCTTTAAATCAAAATTTAATACAATTGGTGTTATTTTTTTATTGTAATAGTTGACAAAAACACATTATCATCACACCCAACTAGTCATTTACACCTTAAAATAGCACACTTTCAAAAGAAGGCCAGCTGCGCTGGGCCAAGTGAGTGCAAGCAATTTGCAAAAAAGGTCAGGATTGTGCGACATACAGGCAATGTCGGTAAGCCCATCTGCAACACTCATTCTGGGAGGACAAGCCATGTTCGTGGCGGCTCGTCAAAAGACCTGCTATTTATGTCCACTGACCACGTGCAAAGTATGTTTGCAATCAACATTTGCGAATAATCGTAATGCCCACCGCGGTGCAGAGGGTGAGAATTGCAGATGTATGGAATCTAATCAGGGGTTTCCCAACATTCTTCAGTGACAAATTGGTTCAATGCAACAGGACATGATATGGTTGACATATAAAATTGACCAAGTGTAACAAAACTATTTTGCTCAAGCTCGGGAAAAATTCAATAAAGACAGGGCAACATTAACGTATATTATAATGGACTGGAACATCTGAAGGACATAACAACACGATAAGCACCCGCTACAATAAGCAGCTGTCACATGCCTTTCCGCAGCTCATTCATCACACACACAGCACACAGGAAGACCAGGAATAATATCTTGGACATGGTTTATAATCCTCCTACTCGTATCACACAGGACAGGCCCAGGCATTTGGCCAATAAATCAAAAACGGGTTAGACTTACCACAACTTATAACAAAAGCAATATTAACTGAAATCGAAATCCAATTTCGAACAGGTTAAGTCCAGGGACGTGCAGAATCTTCCAAGATGTATTACACCTACAGAGTACATGCTGCATTCTCATCCATCCCATGTAATTCAAAACACCTCTGTGGGAAAGATGCTCAGTGTGCATCTGCTGCACGTTGCTGCCCTCTGCTGGCTGGCTACGTTACAAGTGCAGCAAAAAAAATACTAAAATTGCACGATTGTTTATATTCCACGAGGCAAACTGAAAACCGATTAGCCGTCAAATGCTGACGACACGTTAAACAGTCCGTGCGCATTAGTTCTCCTTTCTTTCAAACGGCACTGCTTAGTTGAAGAGCGGTTGCGTCATGACGTTTATGTCGGCGTCAATCTCGCACTGGTGATTATGCCAAGCTGCCAAAAGAAACTATACGGCAGCTTATTGCCTGAAAGCCCCTCATTTTAATGCAAAGATTAAAAGAGATATTGAAGACAAATGCTTTACTTTGATTCAAAGCAAAACCTAAATATAATTAAAGCAGCTAAGGCATTGATCTCCGAAAGTTTCGTTTTATGACAATATGGGCATCATTTTAAAAGCGTTTTTTTAAAGTTTATTTCAAAATCAGATGTATTATTTGAAAATGTTTTGCTTACACGGTGCCAAGGGTGATTTGATGGCATGAGCAGGTGCCCGTTTACGGGTGTGAAAAACACTTTCAAGTGCTAATTCACAATCTAAGCAACCTTACTAATGGCAGGGTGAAGCCAAATGAATATCAACATGCAGGAAAGGAAAAAAAAGTACAACTCCAACCAAACTGACAATATGATTACGATGGACTAGAATCCCTGTAGATAATTGAAGCCATTACAAAGGACAGATGTCTTGGCAATAATTTTCAACCCACGCTCCTTATCCGTTTGTCAGCTGCAATAAACACTTCACCACCCCCACCGCCGCCCCCCCCCCCCAAATTGTCTGCATTTAGAATTTCCAAACATCTGCGTTTGAATCCCACTGCGACATACGGTGTTCGATCGACATCGTGATTTCGCAGTGTCAAAAATATATTTCATCAAGGTCTAAAAGTAGATGAGGATTTTAGATTTGAAATACACACGGGTAAAGCATGCAATGGAACAAGGACAACCACATGAACTATATTAAAAACAGCCCCATTCCAGATATTTGAAGTACATAGCCCCAAGCAACAATTACATTTTATGACAGAGGGATGTTCGGTATTACCAAGCATAACAAGCTATTGCCAGGGTTTGTTATCAGCCCACCAAGTCGACGTGAGCCAAGCCCCAAATTGCCCTAAGGGGCAGCACTTACTGACAAAATTAAGTTAAGGAAGTGCAGCCGGGGGAGACGCAATTAAACAAAGGTGGGATCACCTCAAAAAACCTCGCAAGGAGGAGCGGAAAGGGAAGCGTGCCCTCAATTGGTTTCCGATGGCGCCTACGAAATTCCCACCTGTGCAGAGGATCGTCGCGCTCCGCGTCGTGGTCGTCCGTCTCCTCCCTCGCTCCCCTGCCGCCGCCGCCGCCGCCGCCGCCGCCACCACCCGCCTGCGTTCGTTCCATGGTCCGCGTGTACGCCCGCTCCCTGGGCCTTCCGTCGCGGACGCTCACCGGACCGCCGCCCGCTCCCAAGCCGGTTACGGCTCCGGATCCGGCGCCCGGGCCGCCAGAGCCCGAGAGGCGATCACTGAATTGCCGAGAACCGTAGAGCAGGCCCAGGCGGTTTCCATAGCGCGACGGGACCTCCATCCCGGAACCGAGGCCTGTGCATTCGATGGGAATCCACACGGAAATTCATGGCTGCTCCACTGCTAAGTAAAATGTGTGCTGTTATACAGATGCGTTTCTAGTAGACATGTAGTAATAATGGCATGCTTAATTTCTCAGAAGGCATTCTTGTGCTCATATAGACATGCATCGAATAGTGTGTGTGTGCAGAAAAATAAATCATTTAACATGTATGCACATTGCATGGTAATGTTATATTCGGGCTAATTCAGTCAGCCGAACTGCAAAAACTAGAATAAAAGAGCACTGCAAATGAAACGGTAAAAATTTGACAAAAAGTTGATTCAGTCGAATTGTGACCACGAACCTTAACAGTTAAAATATCTAAAGAGGGGGTAACTGAATAGTTATGTACCAAGTTACCAAAGTGTGCACAAAGGGAATAGGAACGACTTTAGTGCTCTTTGTGATTGTGGGTGCTACGAGCAATCTACGAAAAATTACCCCACTTGCGTGTCTCACCAGCAGGTGTAGCGTAGCGTCCCACGGCCCCCCGTGGAGGCAGGAAAGGTGCGGTTCCTCCCAGGCCAGGGGCATCGTATGAGGAGGAGCTCACGTGCGCCATGCGCCCTACGCCCACACCAACGCCTTCGTCACTGTTGTCCGGTCCAGGGTAAAAAGGAGACAAGTGCGGCGGTGGCGGAGGAGGTGGCGGCGGCGGCGTTGGCGCCGGCGGCTGCTGCTGCTGCTGCCCGTGAGAGAAGCGTTCCCAACGACGAGCGTCCGAGTTGAACGTCAAGAGGTTGTGGCAGGCGCGACAGCGGTGAAAGTGAACGGAGCCTGAAGAAGAGCCCATGGCTGCTGACTCATCCTCGTCACGATGCTGCTGCTGCTGAGGTAGGTCATAAAAGTCAGGAGACTGAACGGGAACGTCCAAAAATGACTGCGACGGTTGGAGTCTGCCCGAAAAATCTAATTCCGCTCCGTTGTTGTTGTTAAGATTGTCGTCCACGGTGGAGTCTCCGGAGAGACTGGGGTATGCGGGAGCTGGGTTTTCTAAATGCGTCGTTCCTAGGTACATATCGATGGTGCTCTGCACGTCGGCGTGGTCTTCCCTTACCCCTGCACGGTCACTGTCACGGCTGGCGCCAGCGGTCCAGCTCGTGCCCGAAGCCGCGCCGACGCCGTCTGGTGCCGCGTCTCGCAACAGAAAGCCAGGCTGCTGCACTGCGGTCTCCGAAACTGGAGGGAGTGTGACGGCAGGATCGGCGGTCAGTGCCGACAGCAGGCGGGGAGCGGTGACCGTGAAGTCGGGCCGGGAAGACTGAGCGCCGTAGGCAGCCTCCTCGTCGTCCGCGCCTTCCGCTTCGACCGCGACGCTGCCAGTGGCCCCGAGCACAGTGCGCGTCCAGCCGGTGCTAGATATGACGCGGTTCGCCTGGCTGGCGCTTGATTGACGAGCGCTGCCTGCCACCGCGAGGTTCCTTGGCAGACCCGAGCCCTCGGACCTGTGAGGCCGAGGCGGCGTGGGTGGAGAATCCAGCCCGGAGCGACTGGTGCTGGGAATCGCCTGATCGGCCTCGTAGGTGGCTGGCGCAGAGTCGCGACTCGCGCGGGGCATTGAGATGCGGGGCTGCGGCACCGTGGAGTACGGCAGCCCCACAGAAGCGGCCGACGTTGCTGGGTATGCCGCAAAGTTCGGTGCGCCGCTGCCTCCGCTGCCACCGCTTTGCTGCGATGAACTCTGAGGCTGCGCACTGAACTCGGAAGGAAGCGAGCGCTGCTGCGAAGCAGACAGGCTCCTCGAGCGGAGCAGCGGAATGGAGGGAGCGGTGGTGAAGTGGCCCTGGCTTGTCGGCATGGTGGACGAGGAAGATGTGGTGAGATAGCCGAAGCGATCGCGAAGCACCGTGTAGACCGATGTACGACTTGTTTCCCGAGGTGACTGGAACGAACCTACGAAGTAAGGGGACGTCCTGCTCGCCCCTTCCATTGGCGAAAACGAAGCGGACTGACTTAACGAGTTGTAGCCGAAGGGCAGGCTGCTACTGCCGCCACTGCTGCCGCCACTGCCGCCACCACCGACATCGCTCGTCGGAGCGAACATGCTGGAGGAGTAAGGAGGGGTTCTGCCCCCCGCATCCCCGTGCAATGAGGAGCCTCGGTCCGGAGCGCCCGCATGGCCGGATGCGCCGTCTGCCCCCACGCCCGAACCGGCCCCACCAGGTGGCCGGAACGGAGGCATGTGCAAGTAGTTGTGCAGCATGGGCGCTCGGCGGATCAGCTGAGCGTGCAGCATCAGCCGCTGCCGGATTGAGACGTCGGGCGAGATCTCGGTGTCCTCCTCGGGCTGTTAAAACACACCACACGCATGCGCACACACACAGGCTGACAGTGTTAAAGTTGCATTTCCACATCTGCTATTTTACATGCAGTCAAATTTTCGATTATACGGGATAATCAGGGGGTGGGGGGGGGGAAGAAATGGCCCGGATAAAGTAAAAACCCATCATGCAAAATATAAGCAAATTAGGCTATTGAAAAAAAATGTGTTTCCTGTGTAGAATTGGGGTGAAGAAGATATATGTGTCGTCTGTGTTTATTGCTTCAAGTAATCGGTTTACTTTGCTGCTGACGTGTTTGCAGTCACATCTGCAGCAAGCCGCTGACCTCCAGCGAGGAGCAGCTAATAATTAACAAAGTGAGCATAAAGTAATTTATGTAATTATTCGCAGGTACCGTTAATCCACAATCGGGATATTCTACGTATAAATAATAAAACGTCAACAAAAGGTTGATCAATTAAAAAGTTTAACTTTGTTGTCTGCTTACTACACCAGCTTTTATGCTCATTTCACCAGGTAAGATTTCCAGAAACCAGGATGAGCCTCATTTGCAAAAGTAACACGTGGCATTATTTTTCCAGTGGGGGGGAGGGGCAATTATTACTATGTATGGCACAGATTGAATAATTGCTCGTCATTAAAAAATTGGCCTACTTTTGCGAGTGACGTCGGGAGAGGAACTTTGACGTCGACTGTGGAAGCATACTATGGTGCACATTTGTACGGTCGATATACACGCAGTAATCACTAGGGCAGCCGCTGGATTCGAACCGTGAACCTCTAGTCCAAGCGGTCAACGCACTACTTCTAGGCCACATCACTACCCATAATAATGCAAAATCAAGGCAATGCATAATCAAGTTATCATGCAAACATTCATATCGCAGCCTGAAATGCCGGCATTATAAGAACCAGCTACTAATCAGTATACTAAAGGACATTCTTAAGAGATTATTCTTGACCGTGTTGCTTCAGGCAACCAAGTAAAACAATTTTTTACTCCTATCGATGATTATGTACATGTAATACTTTCAACAAAACCAACATAGAAAAATAAAAACCAAGATAGAGGATCACCATGTCCGGTATAGGTGACCAAACTTATTTAAAAAGGCATTCTCTGTTTAGTTTTTCATCTTGCTTCTTTAGTCTTTCTCTCCCTGGTTACATCTCAATTATTTTCCTCTTTCACATGCATGGCACTCCAAGATGTTTTAGGGCACCTTATAAATCAAAATTATGACCAGACGAATGGATTTAAAGACAGACCTGGTATGCAATCCAACACAAACGAAAAATACACAAGAGCGCACAGGTAAAGTTGATTTTTCAAACTTTTGTAAATGTCTCCATATAAACCTACTGTCCACATCCCTCCACTTTCCTGACAGCACAATTTAGATGAATTAGAAAAATGTGTAACGCACTCAAAAAAAACATGAACATTTTTATATTAATCAAAAGATGCATCAATTAATGCACGTGCAGACAGCACACGTTTTCGAAAATTGCAGCAGTGAAATCTGTGAATTGGCTATAACAGATAAAACCCTTCTGTAGATGCTTTACTCCAATGACTATCCATCAATGAAAAACTCCAATGTGTGCGCTCTCCGGAACACATATTTACCTCTTTAGTTTTCTACTCAATTTAGCATATTAATTTACTCAAATTAATTTATTTTACAGCAGATAAGTGTACTCTCTCGATACACAAAAGACGTGTGACACGAAAGCAAACACCTGCCAAGTATTTTGCATTATCTATCACCTACAAATTGCAAAAGCAAGATAAAAAATAATGCGTTGTGCAAAACTGCCGCGCACAGTCCTTATCTACGTACATTAATCAATGCCTTATTTCATCACAGTTTTCATCACAAGATAATTAAAACTTTAAAAATTCAACTGGAATAACACAAACAAAAAAGCCAACAAACTGAATGCGACGCTGTACGGACTCGCAATTCACAACCCTTCAAACGACTATGCAACATTGCATAGAGTAGCATTACGACGCATCATGCAAGCGATGCAGTTACAAGCATGCAGAGAGGATACCAGACCGCCCGGCAAGTAAGGGTAAAAACTGCCAGTACATACACGTCTCTCTTGAGGCTGTGCGAGAGGTGGGAGGGTATTTTTACACAGCATTTATGCACTATGAAATCATTTTCGAAGCAAGTCAACCTGCAGAATGCCCCCGCCAGATACAAGGGCCAAATGAAATTTTTGCAACTTTTGGCCTTGAGAGACTGGATCAAACATGGGTCACTGAGATGGGAGGACAATTCCCTTGCCACGCAAGTCTATTTTCAGCCCACGGCTCAAGATAAGCATGTGTAGATGTGTGCGTGTGTGCGTCTGGTTCCATTTCCGCTCGCATCTTATTTATTATTTTACAAGTAAATTCAAGTATTGGCTGTAACAATCTAATTTCTTAAGACCGAGATCAGAAGCCGCGAAGGGGCAAAGCTCATTTTATTGAAAAATGAACATTAATAATTAAACACCATTGCAAAAGAGACAAGGCAGTTATTACCTTCTACACATCAAAATCTATTTTACAAAGGGCACTCTCCATCCATTTGAATATGCATGCCTGACACCATCTACATCCTTGCTCATATTTTTGCAAAGCTAATCAAATAAAGTAGACATACTGCCTTTATTAGATTTTTGTGTAATTTATCCTACTTGAGCGAATGTCATTAAGTTACAATTTGGCAAGAATAATATATTTAAATTTACGAAGCATGCTTAAGCTGCACAAACCTTCACTTTATTCAACAGTGGCTATGCTGGAACAAATGGCTCGCAATCTGACAGTTGCGAGTTCAAATCAAGGTTGAGGCTCAACTCGGCCCCATCATCCCTCAGGGGCTGATAAGACTAAGGTACCACTTTGTGGAGATGTTAACGCTATGTTGTCCAAAGGAGACAAACAACAAAGATCCCCCATATAGCCTCAACAGACATTTTGGGCAAGTGCTGTTAGAGAGCACCTACGAAGGTCGGCACGGCGCACGAGAAGTGGATGGCCAGCATCACTTCTGGCAAGCTTCGTCTCCCGAGTGGTGATGTTTATACACCGCACCAGGTAGTCATTTGAGGCTGTGTCGACCTAGGGGACGCCCAGGAGCAGTTTAGAAATCGTCATTGGTGTTGGCAGCTACACTATCGCTTCCCCATGGCCTCCGGCAAAGGAATGAGGAAATTCCACTACCGGCTCAAAGCTGTATACAGGAGATGCCCACTGCTTAAATGCTAATTTGAACAGGAAATCACTAAAGTTTACTTTTTTTGAGTAAAGAGCCTCGTCAATCTGTTCTGGCAACTTCCCATCACGCCACGGTTTAACAAGCCACTCTAAACAATTGTGAGGACATGGCAGTGCAACTGTGTCAATGCTGCAGGGCAGCTTATGGTGGGTTACATAAGCATATTTGTGCAGCTAAGTCAACACGTGAATACGGATAGGCACATAGCCCACCACAATACACACCCCATAAATAATTATTTAGATTATCAGATTATAATCTGTGGTATTTAAAATGTAAATATCGGGAGCTCATCGGTTGCAAAGTGGAAAGCAACAGCATTGCGTGATTATTGTAACAAGCATTTTCAAAGGAAAATTTGTCAACCTTTCGCAACGTTAAAAACACTACCTCGGCAACAGCAACTCGTGCACTTTAACGACAGACAATACTGCCCTCTATGGTTACAACACGAAGCTCTTGTTAAGCACAACAGCCCGTTAGAAATTCTATAAAGTGGCATAAGTCCATTCCAGCACTTCACCGTTATCCATTACGGTTCTTGAGGGCTCGTAATAACTGCGTGTGTAAACATCCGTCGAGGCAAGAAATACATTAGAGTTGTCTGCTGTCGCATGGCTTACGAGCGGCTTTTCTGTACCTATAAACAAAAACGCAAAATGCTTGGCATGTGCCACGAATGCATATGCCAAGTGCTGTATATGCAAATGCACACAGGGAGGCAAAAAAACGGCATTATCTAAAATAAACAAAGGAGCACGGCACCACATGCTAACCACATGCTTGGGCTTGCCAATGAGAACAGGGCCTTGAATGAAGCGTGGTCGTAAATTTGTTTGGCAGCTGCTATGTGGGTTTCTAAACGGTGCCAGAAGGGGACTAAATTATCTATGTTTTGCCATTACAATCACTATCACTTAAAGTGAAATTGAGCTGCAAACGACTCATTTATTCATTGCTTGTTCAAACGTACACATTTGTCTCCTCTAACAAAATACCAGATTAAAACAGGCAAGTGTTGTACTTGTATCCAACTCGCAGTTTTGTGGATTGTCCAGCAATTATAGGCGAAATGTTTCGAATACCGTTCCAACTTTACCAATAGAAAGTTTGAATTAGGCATTTAGAAGAGGCTAACTTTTCCCCATATAACATCCAGTGAAATCCTATCCCCGGTGCGTTCGAAACACACACACTCGCCACCTAATTATGACATGGCCCTTTCCTTTACAGGAAAAAACACAACTCTACCAAGTTTGATTCTGCGGCCCCATTCTGTCAACGTTACAGGAAACACATCACATTCCCCCAATGCCAATAAACGGATGTTCCAACTTCAAAGTTGAGGCAAAGAAGTGAATCTGTCATATGGCAGGCTTGGCTGAAGAAAAGCTCGACAGGATCTTCCCAAACAACATTCTTCTCTGGTGTTGCAGGAGAAATTGCAAGGTGAGCAACAGCTTCAAAGTGAGGCATCAAAAGAACGGGAATGCCAAGGCCACCAGAGAATGCCAAGGCCAGGGAGTTCTGCACCTCACCTGCTGATTGGAAGGGTTAACGATGGCCGTCAGCAAGTTCTGACCGAGAGGGTCGAAACGCACCAATCTGCAAAAGCGTGCAAAAAAAAGAGGTCAGCCATCGTCGCCGCAACCTCAGTCAAGACAAATATTCAATTCACACCGTTGGTATTTTTAGCTTCCGATAACATCAAAAAGCACTGCATCTTTGCCGACAGCAAAAAGTACCACTGCACACCCTCTTAAAGGCGTTGTATATTATCGCGCTCGTCCAGTGCTGATCAAGGTCAAGACAAAAATGTGAAATGTCCTGCCTACAGCGAGATATCAGCCGCACTCTATTAACTTGTGCAAACAAGAAACCCACTGTTTTAGGCACCTTGAATATCAGTTTACGGGGAGAACAAAAAAAATGCATTATCGTTTCAGGACTGTTTAGTGTCCAAACTGAAACCTTATAACACTTTTTAACTTTCATCTCCCTTTCCACGTCGCGGTTCGATACACAATTCATTTGCATTAGCCGCGTACACACTACTGTAATGTACTCGGGAAGGACTCCATGACATTCACATTTTGACCAGAGGCAAGAAGACCTTCTCGGGTTGCACATGCCCTCCCAATCCAATTGAATTTATGCTTAAAATCAGGCTTCATAACATACAAAACCATTTAGGTTCAGAAATGTATTTCTCGGTTGGTAAGCCCAAGAGAACTCAAAATAGATAAGATATAAGCAGGCATCAGATTCCAAAACATATATTCCAATACGTATATTTTTAAGTCAAAACACAGCCTGTCATTTCAACAGACGATGTTGAACATTTTTTTTTCCTTTAAATCATGAAAGTTCACCTGCAGCCTTAGACAAAACAATGTCCTTCACACCACCGATATGGGTGCAAAACACACAACAGATATTCTTTTACAGCAGTTCTCATTTACCTCTAGAATAAAAGTTTTACGAGCAATCCATCAATGCACAGCCCTCCTTTTTCAATACACTGCTGGATGTTGTGAATGGTCAGTGTTATATAACCATCCTTCACCAAATTGGACAGCGAGGACTGGTAAAGGCAGGAAGCACAGACAATAGGGGCATAATGCATTTTGTTGCACTGCCTTCTGCTGGCCATCACACAGCCCCACAGCCTACAACACCTGTTAAGCATGGTACTCGGCCAATTAGCAACTACCCTTGCTCGATCCTGCTTAGCTTCCAAATTTTCACGAAATCGGGCACATTCTGTGTGATATGATAGTAAGCAGTCCATCAGATCAAAATTACATGCCAAATATGTATTTCACTCGTGCACTCTACTCGGGACTTTTTGGGTGTGGTTGTAGGTTATCAACAGTCCGAGATATTTAAATGTGTTTATCGTGGCGAAGGCACACCGAACTCGCTCCATCTCATTGGCCGTCTTCACGACGGCGAAGGGCTCGGGGCGGCTCCAGTCCCAGAAGTGAATCTCATTGGCCGTGGCCACCACAAGCAGCTGCACCGTCGGGTGGAAGGCCAGCGACGCGATCGCCATGTTGTTCTCCGTGTACCAGCTCTCACTCCCACCCTGTTTTCATATCACGCAAAAGGAAACATTTTATTTGGTGTGTTTCCGCAGCCACTCATAATCCGAGTGGGGTCTTCAAGTGTTAGGGCGATTGTTGAGCTTTTTTTTCTCTCAAGCTTTTGCCATGCACTACCACAGTGTGTGGCACTAGCAACTTTCAGCTAACCATCAAAACAAAGACGGTCACTGCATCGCGAGCTTTCAATTGCACTTCTGCGGCCGTCTGGAACGCTCATTCCGATATTAGGAAGCCACTGGAGCTATGCACTATCAAATCTAGACTGAAAACGAATTTCTTTAGAACGGCTTTTTGTGTTTAGTTTGTTGTCCTTTCCCCGCACTGCCGAATAGCACGGTTGGCTACATACGGTGCAAAGGAAGTCAAAAATACTTACATATGCAGTAATGCAGAGAAGAAATGCTCAACAAATGGCCTTACCAAGAAGACCACATACTTGGAAAAGCAAATTAACAGCAATTATCAAACTACTGATGCATGAAGGCCTCTCCTAGCTGTCAACAGTCTCACAAACCTGCAATCCAAAAACTCCACCGAGCACCTACACGAGCCGATTTCATCATTGCATCTCTGCACTGGACACGCTCGAGGAAGCACTCCCTGCTTTGGCTGCCACTCCATCCTTAGCCTCGATCACTGTCCATCGCCCCTTATAGCAATGTGTCCCATCAAAACCCACTTACATTTCTTAACGGTCAAAATTCCGTCTAACATTCATATGCGAGGTAAGGGGAGGCCTACTTTAAAAGTAAACAAAGAAAAGGGAAAAAAATCGCCATATCAGCGTAAGGCTGCAGTGTTAACCGGCCACCCTCAGCTCTTGTAGCTAACAATATATTTTTTCAGTTTCCCCATGGGACACGGGACACTCCGGCAACCAGGAAGACCAGGCAATTGTTCTGATTTCCCTGACTCAAGCAGATTGACGTATACAGCAGCCGCTTTGGCGAAAGAAAACACTTAAAAGTACATATTCTGTGGGCATCCGGAGCTGAGAGGTCAGCACAAGGTTACATTGAGTCAATTTATATGTGAATGGGATTAGCGGTTCAGCCGCTGCAGCCACTCACAAGTATAATAGGGAATCCACCCTTGTTCAAGGACAACACAAACATGTTTTACATCATTAACTGAACTAATAGTGAGTGGCAGCAGTGGACTTTTATTTTACCAGGTGTGAAATCCATTGAGACTGAAACTCTCTTTCCAAAGGGTGACTTGGATCAACAAATAACACCCAAAAAAAAACACACATTGTAGGAGGGCACCATAACATTCTAAAACTAACAACAAAAAGATAACAAAAGGAAAAAAAACGTCAAGCAGATAAGAAGTTAAAGAGACTGGCCGGAGGAAAACCTAGAGGCACCAACCGCACGCCAACCCAGGAGCGGTAAATTTGTAAGAGACGGCAACTCACGTGCAGGTCCCAGATGCGAACCTCTCCGTCCAGGCAACCGGACGCTAGCAGCCCCTTTATAGACGGGTGGAAGGTGACGCACCACGGCGTGCGACGGTGGCCCACCAGCGAGTGCGTGCACTGGCCCGTGTACACCTCTGTGATGTAGATGTTGTGATTCACGTGTGTCGATGCCATGAGACTCCTAGAATGACACAAGTGCATATATATATAGTTGAAAAGTTGGCATGAAATTGTACACTGGACAAGAGAAAGACATTTTTTTCCTAAAAAACGAAATCCAGAATTCCAACCTAGTGCGATACAACTAAATAGTTTCAACCATCATATCGTCCATTGCTGGACGAAGGCCTCAGCGTTCTTGATCGTTCTGCGATGCAACAATCCACACAGCACTGGCACACAAGCAGATGCCATCGCTCTATTTCCTTGGTAGACATCCTTCTCAAAGACGCGTTCCACGCCTTGGCTGCCACCGTCACTATTTTTTACCATCGACCATCATCCCCATCTAGTGACAATGTCCTGTCCAGGCGCACTTGAGTCTCTTAAGTCCGAATTATGCTTATGACCTGCATTACATTCTACGCCTTCTGTATCTTATGTAAATAGTTTTGACCAGTGGAAAAATACGGAGGGTTGGGGGCATGGGGAGGGGGAGGAAGGGGAACCTGAGGACATCATTTGGTCGCACAATCTCAGCCTGATCCAGCCAGTTTCTAAAGGGACTCGGCATCTAATTCCAAACCTAAGGAGGAACTAAAAGATATGGGGATCTTATTTGTTGAAAAATTACATCCCTACCAAAGTCAGAATTTAGTTATAATATTGATAAAATATTACACACTTTTCTGAGAAAAAAATGTGTCCAAAAACATTGTTGATCCTGGATTACCATGCCATCACATGGCTCTGTGTCACTTGAAGGGCAAGGCAGTTTAACAACTGCCGTAATGTGATTCTGAACATTTCAGATCCTGACGTGCAACACTTGACAAATATTGATAAATGTGAGTTTGTAGCATACTACATATGGTGAAGGATGTTCGTAATTGGAAACACTGCAACCATGGTAATTGGATGCGAATTGCATGGCTAGTTTGTGGTGCAACCGAACTCTTGAGTGACATTTATGGTATCCAGTAACACGTGGCTTCTGCATGGTATCGGACGACAATAATTTATTACAGGATCACTTCCAGATTCAAAATATACACTGTACCATCATTCTTGTCAACTCTTTTTTGTATCGGTTAGGTTTTTAATTTACCTTCATTGTGCTCCAAAACAAATTAAGACGTTGAAAGTTTGAAATTGGCTGGCATTAAACCGTTACTCAGAAATAGATCATGGCCAATATGCTCCCTGTCTACAAACCGCTGGAGTTACAATTAACTGTAACGCTTCTCTTAATAACAATGGAGGGTAACGAAATTGGAAGTGTCAGCTCACCTGTCGGGGCTGAAGGCGAGCAGAAAAGTCGAACGCGGACTGTCAGGCAACTCCACTTTCTGCAAATAAATAACTTTTTTTTATTAAATCTGTTAAGGAACAACACAATATTTGCATTATCATCATCATCTTCGTCGGTCATGATCAATCCACTGCTGTATGAAGGCCTCACTCCCAAAGCCATCGCCATGATTCTGTGATGTAACAATCCACAGAGTACCTGCGCATGTGCCTATTTATATTTTGCATGCTAAACAAATTCAAAGAAGCATTTTTAAATACAAAGCTTGCATTTGTATTCCATACATCAGCTTTTTATAAGGATTTATTTCATTTATGTGAAGTTGAAAAAAATTAACAAGAATATTGGGCATGACAGTATTAATGGGGGTGTGAAATGAAAAATTACTTAGATAAGCATAGAGAAAACAACCGGAAAGTACATTGCGGTGAGAATTCCAATATTTTGTAGATTTACTGGGGTAGTACAAATAAACTTGTGACTACATAGGCAGGAACCTCCAAAGCCAGCCTATGAGCAAAAACTGTGTACCAAATCATTTTTTATTTGTAAAATTTGTATCAGTCTCCTCAAGACCCTAAGAAAGCTTGTGCTTATATATTGTAAATATATAAGATACAACCAAGCAGCACAAGATTATAGGTTATTTTTCGTTACAAAATAGTTAGAAATTTTAAAAACACCTGTTCTTCAAACTATATTCAATGGCCACAAATTATATATTCTTCAATGTGCACACACCACTGCCCAAAGCCAATATAAATCAAACACAGGTGGTGGTCAGCCAAGGTTACACATCTGGTATTTTGGTAGTTGGTTTATTGCTCTTACGCCGCAAATCTATTTGGAAGCACTGCTCATCTAAGTGGAAACAGTCTTCCCTATAGAGACTTAACAAGGGCATTTTAGCACCATAAATCCACCCTGCGCATTCCTGCAGTGACTACGCATATAAAAGCACCAGCAAAAAAAGGGTAAGCCCACAAAATGGCAAAACGCTGACCAATTAAGAACACCGAGTCATATCGGGCAATTATCCGAACAGCGAGCACAGCTTGCGCCGTTCAAACGGCATCGAAAAAAGCTGCGGCGATCGGCGAAATAATCAAAAGCCCCTGCTCGCGATCCATCACGGACCGGCCGGCCGTGATGGATGTGCGTCACATGCAACGAGCTTTCCCGCAGAGCTACTCGGCATGCGGCGCACGCCCCTGCGCTGCTCTGGCCGCATGAGCGGCGTCGTTAACAATCAGCCCGGCGCAGCGGGACCTGCCGCCAGCCCCACGCTGTCCTCGCGCGCCCTCTCTGCACTCCGCAGCCAAGACGCAAAGCCCCCCCCCCACCGCCCGACGGCTCAGATTTCCAAGCGATAAAAGTGTGGCCAATCGCAATCCACTCAACCACCCTTTTTCTTATCAAAACAGTCAAACGTGGTGTGCCCCCAGAATTTGTTACTGAGAAACAAACATTCTACCGTTTGAGTGAGTGGGCGTTCTGTCCTGTTAAGTTGGAGATTGCAGTATTCCAGCTTCCAACTTAAGCACGCTTATTGCATTTACAAAAGACAACAAATGATGCACTCTGTACAATGCTGTAATAAAATACTGTATTATTATTTTTTCAGCTGGTATATGGGTTAGGACTTTCAACACTGTTCAGTTTTTTTTTCTTTAAACCAACAAAAAAAGCCTTAAATCACTCTTTGCCTAAAGCTATGCAGCTGGCACCAAATGGGACTTAAAACCCCATCCTATGACAAATAACCCGCTAGAGTGCCAACAGTTCAGCTGAGGTCAGGTCTTTACCCCGGACTGTATGTGTCAATTCATTTCCACTCACAAACACACTCTGGCACCTTTCCTCCCATGTGAGTCAGGCGGCTAACATTTGTTCGTGTAAATATTAACGATAATAAAGGGCATGAGGCAATTCGTCGAGGTTTTTATTAAATTCAGCACCGAATCATATTTAAAATATAATACAGGATTAGTACACCCTGCATGTGCTCCCATGCAGTTAAGGTTACCCCATTCCTAAACACATTGCACACTGAATTAATGTGGAAACTCCATGTTTATGAAAAGGGTCAAAGCAAGTCATGCTTTCTATATCAGTGAGCTGCATACATATGCCCGTCTGGTCATGCAAGTCTGTGTCCGCACTTAACCTGCTGTAGTCTGACCTGACCTACCCAAAAACAAAACATAAGATCGGCAATGTGTTTGATCTATGAGACAAAATAGCTGGAAAATTTTACAATTTACATATCTTCCAAGTCGCTGTAAGAGACGCATTTACCAATCCATAATTCCATTCAAGACAACAATATTACAGAATCGTTATCATTAACATTGTGTTTTTTTACATTTAGTTTAACAAAATTGGAATAAACTTCCCAGCCAGGAAAATCTCACAGTGGAAGTTTAATTTTATAATAAAACTGTCATTATCCAGTGAAAAGTAGCCTATGCAAGAGGCATAATAAAAAAGTATATGTTGGGAATAATGGGAAAGCCAAAAAAAATCTCACTGATACACAATCAACAAACAATGCTCACAGACCATAGGGGGAGGGATACATATGTTGGATGGAACACAGGTGTTGGGGCGGGGGGGGCATAGGGTGCTAGCAATTAGTACCTGGCTCTCCCACTGCATCTGGCAGGCCTTGTCCTCCGCCAGTTCCTCCAGGCCGCTGCGTGCCCCCATCCAACTGGCGCCCAGCTCACGCCCACTTAGGATTTGGACCGCATTTCTCCGCCGGCTGGGCCCCATTCTTGCCCGTCTGCTTGACTGGCTGCCGCTGTGGCCACCTCTCCCGATGAAAATGAAGTTGGAAAATAAAAAAAACACCTCTCCCTTACTGCCCCGTGTTCATGGAGAAGGCAAGCAGGTGTGTGGGACAGCTGCGAGTCAAATTAAATTGGTGCTCGCGCACGCCGGCATTGTCTCCGGAAGCGAAGGCGCAGCAGGAATTAGCGAGCGCCGCCACGAAGTCGGTGAGAATGGTCGAGGCAGCCACACTTGGACTGTTGGGCCGATGTCCCTCTCGCATGCTACGCACAGAGAACAGCACCTGAGCAAGGGGTTGAAAATTAAAACACGCACAAAATGCATAAAATATGAATGTGCACTCATGCCACAACTGCAGCAGACAGTGAAAAAGTTACAGCTACAGTGAGGGAAAAAAGTATTTGATCCCCTGCTGATTTTGTACGTTTGCCCACTGACAAAGAAATGATCAGTCTATAATTTTAATGGTAGATTTATTTGAACAGTGAGAGAATAACAAAAAAACTCATGTCACAAATGTTATAAATTGATTTGCATTTTAATGAGGGAAATAAGTATTTGACGTCTCTGCAAAACATGATTTAGTACTTGGTGGCAAAACCCTTGTTGGCAATCAGAGGTCAGACGTTTCTTGTAGTTTGCCACCAGGTTTGCACACATCTCAGGAGGGATTTTGTCCCACTCCTCTTTGCAGATCTTCTCCAAGTCATTAAGGTTTCGAGGCTGACGTTTGGCAACTCGAACCTTCAGCTCCCTCCACAGATTTTATATGGGATTAAGGTCTGGAGACTGGCTAGGCCACTCCAGGACCTTAATGTGCTTCTTCTTGAACCACTCCTTTGTTGCCTTGGCCGTGTGTTTTGGGTCATTGTCATGCTGGAATACCCATCCACGACCCATTTTCAATGCCCTGGCTGAGGGAAGGAGGTTCTCACCCCAGACTTGACGGTACATGGCCCTATCCATCGTCCCTTTGATGCGGTGAAGTTGTCCTGTCCCCTTAGCAGAAAAACACCCCCAAAGCATGTTTCCACCTCCATGTTTGATGGTGGGGATGGTGTTCTTGGGGTCATAGGCAGCATTCCTCCTCCTCCAAACACGGCAAGTTGAGTTGATGCCAAAGAGCTCCATTTTGGTCTCATCTGACCACAACACTTTCACCCAGTTGTCCTCTGAATCATTCAGATGTTCATTGGCAAACTTCAGACGGGCATGTATATGTGCTTTCTTGAGCAGGGGGACCTTACGGGCGCTGCAGGATTTCAGTCCTTCACGGCGTAGTGTGTTACCAATTGTTTTCTTGGTGACTATGGTCCCAGCTGCCTTGAGATCATTGACAAGATCCTCCCGTGTAGTTCTGGGCTGATTCCTCACCGTTCTCATGATCATTGCAACTCCACGAGGTGACATCTTGCATGGAGCCCCAGGCCGAGGGAGATTGACAGTTCTTTTGTGTTTCTTCCATTTGCGAATAATCGCACCAACTGTTGTCACCTTCTCACCAAGCTGCTTGGCAATGGTCTTGTAGCCCATTCCAGCCTTGTGTAGGTCTACAATCTTGTCCCTGACATCCTTGGAGAGCTCTTTGGTCTTGGCCATGGTGGAGAGTTTGGAATCTGATTGATTGCTTCTGTGGACAGGTGTCTTTTATACAGGTAACAAGCTGAGATTAGGAGCACTCCCTTTAAGAGTGTGCTCCTAATCTCAGTTCGTTACCTGTATAAAAGACACCTGGGAGCCAGAAATCTTTCTGATTGAGAGGGGGTCAAATACTTATTTCCCTCATTAAAATGCAAATCAATTTATAACATTTTTGACATGCGTTTTTTCTGGATTTTGTTGTTGTCATTCTGTCTCTCAATGTTCAAATAAACCTACCATTAAAATTTTAGACTGATGATTTCTTTGTCAGTGGGCAAACGTACAAAATCAGCAGGGGATCAAATACTTTTTTCCCTCACTGTATGGGTTCCTCAAACTTTTATTCGAAAGTCTTGATTTGAAGCTTTCATGACTGCAGGAATCCATACTCTCTCGTTCTTTCGGTAAAATCGCGTAGATAGAAAAAATAAATTATTTTATTCGAAAGTTTGATATTGAATTTAAGCACGTACTCTAGCTTTACAATTATTAAAAACCTCAAACAAGGAATAATGGTTACTAAGATGCATTGGTACCGAATTATTGCATCAAAATAAGAAGCCTTTACAGCACACAAAAATGGTGATAAGATTCTCACAAGACTCAGCAAAATATCATAACAAAGCACTTCAGTAAAGCAGACTTTTTGTGTTCTGAGAAGCTAGAGAGGTAAAGAATTATTATCATGGAAGATAGAACATTAACTAGCACGAAGGTTTGCTGTTTTAAAGCCTTTACCACACCAAATGATGAGCTATTGGGTTCCAAAAAGCATGCGTCCCTTGGAGGGACATATATGGAATGATATATGTAGCATATTTTCAATGTGCTTACGTTTGATTTTTTTTTAAAACACAGTATGTTATTATATGCAGTGCTGCAAATGTGTTTGCCATGTAAACCGTGTGTGCAATGAAAACAGAAAAAGGGAAAGCGAGACCCAATAAAATGTGTTGCATAAAGAATTATCCTTTACTATGCCAATTCACTGTTTCTCTAACCCATGCCACAAAATACGTGGAGTGACTCCATGAAAATGTGGATTTTTGCGCAAGGTGTGTTGGGTGTTAAACTGTAGCGAGAAACAGACAATTCCACCGTGCACCGAACGTTACCTGAAGAGCACATTGTCCTAAGAAAAACGCAAGCACCGTGTATAAACAAAAAAATAAGACGACAATCTCGAACGAAATGTCACCTTTGGTAAAATAAAATAAATCACCTTTAAAAATTACAATGGAACAGAAGATGAATGGCAGGGTGCATGTGAAAATAATGTTTGCATGTTGTAATTTAATACAGCCATGTACTACTCCCCGTTGACTTGGGAGAAACTAGGGCACTCTAATTTAGCGTGGACAAATGGTGCTCTGCATATGCAGTCACATGTAAGCAACAATCTTCTGCGCTTGACGAAAGTGGTAAACGTAAAAAATTATGAACGCAAAAAAATGTAAAGAAATATGACTTAAATACACGCATTAAGTTTAATGATATTATGACATTGTATTTTTAAGGATCAGAGGGAACAGAGTCTAATCACATTTATAAGTTACCATTATAGAAAGTACATGGCAAGTACAAACAAATCACTATCCTAAAACACACCATTTGATGATACCAATATTGACTGAGAAATCAATAAAAAAAACCCGGAGCCAAAGCTATATATCAAGTGTTCAACAGCGAAGACAAACACGTCTATCTCCCTTACCAGCGATTTTGCATCTTGACTTCACCGGTAACAATGTTAAAAGTTAAATAAGAGGATCTCGTGCCATTTACGCAAGTGACGAGGAATACAGGAATGTGATGTGGCCTTAAAGCAATTTGTGGCGTGTTGGTCATGAGGTTTAACAAGCAGCTGCAGGTTGAGTAGCACACAACGATATGACCTGGAAAGCCCTCCAAAGACAGTTCCAATTACCTCAGGCAAGGTGCCTAGAATGCAGGATGGGTTTCAGATACTGTATTGTGTACACACGGGGCACATGCCTCGCCGCAATGTCAAAGGCTACACCCCTCTGCCGGAGGATGTCATATCTATTCTCAAAAAGTTGTGTCGAACAACACACCAAGGCACTCCGTGGCTTTCATTATGTAATTTAAGTCCATGAAGAAAACAAGTGGGCTTTAGAGGCAACTGCGGCTATTGGAATTCGTATCGTTGCAATTTCGAACTTTTTCTGAAAGCTTAACACTGAATTGATTTTATGACATCTTTCAACATCAGATAGGATAACGAGTAAATTCTGGTGTAACAACTATTTTTCAACATCTCACCCAACTACCAACTTTTTTTTGGGATTAAACTCTTGAAATATTACATACTTAAATATATATTTTAAAAGTGATTACTGCCCCCATAGATGTGGGGAAGGAAAACATTTGAATGTCCCCCCCCCCCCGAAAATTATTATGCAGGAACCATAAATGTATCAATTTATAATAAGAATACAAATGTTCGATTATAATGCACACAGCATTTGCTCACTCTCGAAAAGAGATTACTAAAGAGGTGTGAGGAAGCACAGAAAAGCGGGAAGGCAGCCAGTCAGTGTCGGCCCCACCAATTACCCAAGCTCTGTGGACAAAACCCACGCATATGAAGGAGGCAATGCTTTCCCATGCCATGAAACGGATGGAGTCCACATTTTCTGTATCACCTTCACCTGGCAAACCAGGGTATGGCAAATCCATGCCCATGGGAAGGATGTATTATGACATTTGTGTGATCCACCAAATCTGAGCCAGATTTTTCCCCATTCCTAGTTCCCAATTCAGTTGAAACAAAGTGCTATGCAATAATAAACACGTGTTACGTATTAATGTTGTAAATGCCACAAACTTTCTGTTCCATGTGTGATTTCCTTTTTAACAATCCCACTCTTTCACACTTAAAGCTATGATTTATTGCTGTGTAGGTTTTCGTGGCTGTGTTGTACAGTATATAAGTACCAAGCACATGGGGTGAAATATCAGACATTCTACCAAACAACACCAAGTATCACTGAATGAATGACCATTATTCACAAACCAGAAAGCTGTTTTCCTGGTACTTGAAATGTTGAGTACATTTCTTATCTTATTTAAATAGAGATAATAAAGTTGGCTAACAAGTTTATACAGTAAATCAAACTGGCTTTAAAAAACCCACGAGCAATAACTTATTCTGGAAAAAGGCCTCCCCATAGTCTTGCAATTAAACAATCAATATAGCATCTGCACACAAGCTAAGATCTCTTATAACACAAACAACTGAAAAGAGTGCTTAAATATTGTAACATGGCCCACTCTTACCATACATAATTTAAAATTAAAAAATTATGAAAACAAAACATAAGTTGTAATTAACTTTTGAAGGTTTAAACCTATATTTACTTCTCTGGTCTTCTATAAAAATAACATGTCTTTTTAGGCCAAGTAAACACAATGTAAACTGAAATAATACTGTAGGGGACATTTACCAAATTTTTTTTTATTAGCTTAGATGATAAATAACACTAACAAAAAATGTTGTTCCTGAGTAATAAGTGTTATTTCCTAAATGCGTATGCCTCAAAAGTACAGAAAATGGCTATTATTATTCCCCACAAACTTTGCTTTTGTGACCAGGACACAAAAGCAAAGTTAATAATCCACTCCATTAATCACACTGTGTAACAAAAAATAGTTTTTGCTTCTGGGTAGTGTTATTTCCTATTCTTTGGTTCTTTCGGTAAAGTCACGTAGATAGAATAATAATAAAAAAGTGAATGAAAATAAAAATAAAATAAAAATGTATTTCCTAATTGCGTATGCCTCGAAAGTATAGAAAATGCCTATAATTCCCCATAAACTTTGCTTTTGTGACCAGGACAGTTATATTTTAAAATTTACCTATTTGCGATGAGAAAAACGTGGTGTGCATTTGTGTCTTTCGTTCACATAAAGCCCTGGTCACAAAAGCAAGGTTTTGTGGGGATTAGGCATAACCAATTGAAAAAAAAAACACGTTGTACCCAGGAACAAAAATTGTGTTACGTAGTGTAATCAAATACCTTGTCCCATTAGCAAAATGTGTACAATCAGTTCGAGAACAACACACCGTGTTTCAAATGAAACAAGTATTTTCTTTATCAAACTAAATAAATACTAGTTTTTCACATGTTATTTTAGAATCAATCTGCCGGGGCAGTCGTGCCTGAAGACTACTTTTCTTACCGCACATCTGCGGAAACAAGCAGTCGTGGCCTGTTATAAACGGCTATGTTCAACAGGCTAATACAGCATTTTCTTTGGTTCTTTCGGTAAAGTCACGTAGAATGAGACAGTCTCGTCCCTTCACCTGATGAAGGCCGCTTGTGTTGTGGCCGAAACGTCGTAAGAATATTATTGTGTTATTTTATTCTATCAATTTATTATTTTATTCTCATTCTACGTGACTTTACCGAAAGAACCAAAGAAGATGAATCCTTGCAGTCACGAAAGCTTTAAATCGAAATTTAATACAGCATTGTTTAACATATGACAAATAGACGTACGACTTATAAGCGTCTACTGTGCTTTTAATATTGTTACAGCACCAATGGCAATAAATTACCACACATTAATACCAATAACGCGTTAACAAAACTTCAAAGAAACACATATGCAAACAAATTTACATTAAAGTACATGAACATAAATCAAAACGAATTAATGCAAATTATTCACAATCCATCACCGAATGCATCTGGACAAGATGTTTAAAGTAATGTAACACGGCCGCTTATGCCCCCACCACCACCACCAACACACCGCTCTAAATAAAGAGCGGGTTGAACAAGTATACATAAACGTAAAATAACGAAACGATAACAACGTTGCGCGTGCAGTTAAAGCTCTCGAATAAAGTGTGTCACGAGATGCTGCTAAGCCTCACAACATGTGTTGCACAGGGGGTCCACGTGAGATGCATTGCAGTATTTAATAATCATCAACCATGGTCAGTCAACTGCTTGATGATCTCCCCAAGCCGCCGCCGCCATCCCTGCGATGTAATCACACACTTAGGCCCTTTTATACAAGGCAATTTCATTGCTCCGTCTCTCTGGTGGATGCGCTCCTGGACGAGTTCTATTCCTTGGCTGCCACTCCCCATCGTTACTAATGACCATAGGCAATCATCCCTTCAAGTATGATCTCTTTTGTAAAGCTTGGTAAAAACAACCCCACGAGGTAACAGCGGTGGCGAACACATTGTCGAAGTTGATTTCATGTACAGTGCCTACTTTAATTCCCCGTTGGGTTATGGCCACCACACTCCTGGCCAGTGTAACGGATCATTTAACGTCCACTCTACAACAAACGGCGAGATATAATCTGATGACACACACGTTACCGTACCTTTATCGGCAGAAATAATAACGAACGACGGCGATCACAAGGACAAAAACTGGTCGACTCGGAAACTATCCGCGATTGCTCAGCAGTGCTCTGCGAAGGAACCCAACCCATCACCATTATCGCCCAGCAACGATCGCGCTGAAGGCACACGTATATTCACAGGCGCTCTGTATTAGCGGTACTTTAAGCAACATCATATGACGCTGGTGACTATTGTAACAATTCTATCAACGAATAATGATCTAGACAGCAAGAGACGGACCCGAACGCCACAGACGCCGCGTCTGCGGCCTTAGGCCTTAGGCTTCTCCCTCCCACCACCACCACCCGTAACAGACCCCCAAAACCCAAGCAAGCTTCTACCGCTCCCCTCCTCCTTCGCGGTCTCCACACACACAGAACAACGAATACATCACGAGCGAGAGCAACTCGCGGTAGAATAAGAAACAAAAGACTCTCGTACCTGCGTCGAGCGTCTCCAAGGGCCCAACCTCCTGGGCCCGCGCAACGGCGCTCGCTTGGATCACCGCCACCGTCACCGTCGTCTAACGCGGCCGACGCAACGGAGCCGTGGCCGTCGCCGTCTACCCGCCGCCCGTGAGAGAAATGGTTCGCGGGGGTTCTCTTTGTCTCCGAGCACGCCGCCAGGTTGCCTCGCGGCTTCGCGTCTCCCGCCCCAAGCCTCGCTGTTTGTGTCTCTCGCGATGGGCGGACGCGGCGCTAGGCGAGGAGCGGCCCCGCTCGCCGCGCTGCCCCGTGTCGGCCCCGACCAGACGACCCAGACCAGAGCAGCCGCGCAGCGGCGGAAAGAGTCGATCGAGAGACAAAATTCTCCCCCCCTACCCCCTACCGCTCCTGCCTGCCTGCCGCTGCCGCCGCCGCCGCCCCCTTCGCCTGGCTGCAGTGAGAGCGACGATCGATTGGTCGAGCCTGGTCCCGTGCGTGAACGGCATAATCGATTAATGTACGCGCGTGGCGATCGATTCTTTCGTCAGTAAACTTAACACCATATTCTTGGGGGATGGAGGGGGTGTCTTTCGGTAAAGCCACGTAGATAGAATAGAAATAAATAATAATATATAATAACGATATCACGACGTTTCGATCGCAACACTTGCAATTGTCATCAGGTGAAAAATATATCGGGAGAGCTGCTGAGAATATCTGTCAATATTTAAACTTAACACAATTCATATTCTTGGTTCTTTCGGTAAAGTCACGAAAGCTTTAAATAGAAATTTAACACCATTCGTCAATAACACCGGGTGTGGACTTTGGCTCTTCATCGGAATAAACAGATTTTTTTTTAAAAGGCGACATTTCGGGCAATGACCCTTCTTAACAAAACAAAAAAAATCACGGCATTCGTTCGGTGCGCCGTCGTGTTATTATTCGCTTCGAAGGACCGTTGTCCGAAAGTGTTATTGATGCATGCGTTGAAGTTTTATTTTACGTATATACAGTATATAAATTAAGATTGTATGTAATTGTCCTTGCGCATCACGACCAACGCGGTAACCACTATTGTCAGTGGGGAGGCACTTTCGTCGTTTTTGCACACACCCTTGGTGTACGGTGCTATTTCAGGAATATTTTGATGGTTGTTTTTTTTCCCCTGGATTTTCTGTTTGCACAGTCACATAATCACTTTAAGATGTTTTCTTGTTCATGTTTTTGTTTTTTGTTTGTTGCGGTTGCACCCGATTCAAGAGCCGAATGGCTCACAGGGCTATACCAAATAAATGAAACTATGAACTAAAATGAACTATGTGTCTTCGATCCGTGTCTTACGATAACAATTTTTAACAGCATGCGTTGGGATGGATTATCCCGCCGCACCATTACGGAGTCGCGTTACGATTCTCCGCCGTCTGCGCTGCCATTCCAATCAATCAATTGTCTCAATTCCGTTAAGATTCCATTGGCAATCGATTACTTCAACACTGCTCCACGCGTGTTCCGTACCGCGTGCGGATGGGGTAGTTTCATTTATAGTTTCATTTATTAGGTATAGCCCTGTGAGCCATTCGGCTCTTGAATCGGGTGCAACCGCAACAAACAAAAACATGAACAAGAAAACATCTTAAAGTGACTATGTGTGACTGTGCAAACAGAAAATCCAGGAAAAAAAACATCAAAATATTCCTGAAATAGCACCGTACACCAACGCTGTGTGCAAAAATCCCAGGGGGATGCAAATCAAATAACAACAACAACCACAAGACAACTAAGATTAAGGCCATCAGTCTAACTCCGTACTACAATAAAAAAAACATGGCCAAAACCAAAAAAAACGTTTTCGAAATCAACAAAATAAAAGCCATAAATGCAATGTAACAGTGATCATAGGGACTGTGACCGAATTTTTAACAATAAACTACATAAATTATAACACCAAAATCTAGAGCCATATTTTAGGCCACTGAATAGCAGTGGCAGCTAGGGGTGTACAACTCCTCTAGGGTAACGCATTTTACAAACACAGGGCACGTGTTTGTCGCTGGCAAAGCAAACGCCTCGACGACGATGATGATGATGCTGCTGCTGGTTGCAAGCATCAGCGAAACGTCGACGGAGTAAATCGTAAATTTTGTGGGCTTGCACTCTCACACGCCGGCGTGCTTGAAGTGCTGTAAGTCATAAGTTGGCACTTTCTGTACGCGTTGACAAAGCTTACGAATTGGTCCTCGTCGGGTGGAGGTGGGTGTACGACACAGTTACCTTTAAATCTTGACTTAAAGCTTTCGTGACTGCAGGAATTCATATTCTTTGGGTCTTTCGGTAAAACCACTTAGATTTAAAAAAATGTATTGTTATTTTTTTCTATCTACGTGGCTTTACCGAAAGAACCAAAGAATACGAATATACATTTACCTTTATGCGATCTACCCCCCCCCTTCTCCCACTAACAAAACAACTTTACCATGAAGTACATTCCTTTAACTAATTTAACTCCGTGCCATATATCAATGGTGCCAGTGCCCCACTGTGCAGGTACAGCAGTTTACTACAGTGGTCAGTCGGACAGATCCATGGAACACACATAACGAATCAATGCCAAATTCACAGATACAATGGAGGAGGCGCCACAGCGATGTACCACTCCGCTCGCGACTCCCGATGCAAAGTTCTGGTTCAAGCACCTCAATATAAAACTATCGTAGTTGCTCTACAGCAGTGTTCTTTACTCATTTTCAGACGTGCTTGGGGAGGCACTTTCGTCGTTAAGACATCATCAGTGCGAGGGCCGCCATACATTTGTAACCATTGGGGGTTTGACAGCAGCACGATGATGATGGGGGGGGGGGGGGATGTTTCACATTTGTGTATTGTGGGGAGCCGCATCAAAGGCCACCAAGAGATCGCCAGTGGCCCGTGGGCCTTACAATGAAAGACCCTTCTCGTGAGCCGTACGAAGAGGAAGTTGATCAAGTCTTACATTCTTGTCACCCGCTGATATGTCCACCTCTTCGATTTGCAAATTCGTGATAAGCAGATTTTTTTCCCAATTATGTACAATTTTTTCAGTTATTAGATCTCCACACGGACTCTTAATCTCAAGATGGCAGAATGGCCACCCTGTAACTATTTGAGGTTTCCACACTTGACGTCCAGAGATGGAGCAATGAGGATCGCTGATGAGGATCGGCTCTTGTGCAGGTGCTGGGTGCGTCGTTGCATTGCAGGGGTTATAAAGGGATGTTAGAGGTTTGGGGAGGCAATCTTCCAGCAGTGGATTGACAACGGCGGGTATTGATGATAACCATGACCAGTCTTTATGGCCATGCAATAGGCCACGGCTGAATCTGCACGAACGGACGAGATTGATAATCGTGAAAAGACTTCACGCGGTCAGAGCATTAATTAGTATTGCATTCTTTGCGTAAACAAAAATCCATCCCAAAATATTAACTCGATAGGTGAAACATATTATTTCATATGAATAAAATGCGAATTGTCACCTTTATGTTTATGTTTGACTACATATGCCCCCAAACAACCCCATACCAATAACGGTGCACAGCCGAGTGCTGTAGGCGGAAGGGGACGTGGGGAAATACAATAACTTGTGGCCTACCCTCGTGTTTTATTTATTGTTGCTCGAGCCTGGCGTGGCCGTAATTGAGTTCAGATTTAAAATTTAAAGGGAGAAAAAAAATACGGCTGTTTTTTTGTTAAAACACTCAAGTGTTCGGCTTACTTAATCACACTCGCGGGATCCAGGCAACTCTTGCAGCAGAACCTTGATTAAAGGGGAGAGTGGGGGATGCGTAAACCCCCAGAGGGGTGCACGACACAGTCAATATTAAAGCAAACTTTAAACAAACGTTACACTCTAAACAGAGCGAGCAGTGGTACGATCTACTTGTGCATATCATGCACTCTGCTACAGCTCTCGCCGCATGTGTATATGATGACCTCCATCGCTCAATTGATTGAATGTCAACAATATTCATGGAATTAATCAGCATCACGAGTCATTGTCAAACCAATGAAGGCCTCCCCAAGTTGTCGCCAACCCGCGTGGCCTCTGATGACAAATTCCATCTTGCTACTGCATATAACCTGATCTCTATGTTCAATGTCCATCATGGTCATCGCTCTCAGACTTGTTTTCTCCTTCGGCAAGCATTCCATCATCAATCTCAGTCCAACCGCGACCATCCCTTTGAGCCATGTATGTATGTATGAAAAAAAATTGAATAGGTCTTTACCCTTTCTGGCAATAAACAGGTGTTAAGATTTTGATTTAAAGCTTTCGTGACTGCAGGGATTCAAATTCTTGGTTCTTTCGGTAAAGTCACGTAGAATGGAAACAATAAAATAATAAAAATATGAAACAATTAAATTATCACGACGTTTCGACTGCAACACAAACAATCATCATCAGGTGTGAAAACCACAGCAAGAAAATTTGAAAAAAGTGGCGGTATTTTAACGTTAGCACCACTTTTTTCAAATGTTCTTGCTGTGGTTTTCACACCTGATGATGATTGCTTGTGTTGCAGTCGAAACGTCGTGAGAATTTTATTGTTTTATATTTTTATTGTTTCCCCTCTACGTGACTTTACCGAAAGAACCAAGAATATAGGTGTTAAGATGTTCAAACACCAAATATAAACCTTTTGCAAGGAATCAAGATACTGTATTAACCACACACAGTACTTGTGGTGAACATGCAAACAAAACATGCTCCTATAATTATACATGGCATTGTCTTTGAAACTAATTGGCCTACACCAGTGTCAGACCAGAGAACGCCAAAGGCTGTCTCTGATAAAGGTCAATCAGTTTACAATAAAATGCATCATATATTATCAGAGCATGTTTATTTGCATGTTCACCACAAGTACGTGTCGTTAATGCAGACTTGTTGTTTGAACATCTTAACACCTGTTTTATCGCAAGAAAGGGTAAAACTATTTTTTTTTCATACTTTAATACTGGGAAAAAAGGTCCCGTGATATGTATGTATGTTGAACTTATTTCGCGCCGTACGTAGCCAACCGTGCTAATCTGAGCCACGATGTGCCCTGCCCAAGCCTATTTAAATCTTTCCGAAAAATCAGTTATGACGTGTCTGATTAGAATGTTTTTTTATTCCCTGATCCGCATGCTTTTAACAGTATATATTTAAAAAAAAACATTTGTTACAAAAGGGCAGCCAAAGTTAAGCCATACAAAAAAATCCAACAGGGTACTGCATTAATTCTAGATTTGAAGCTTTCGTGACTGCGAGGATTCATACTCTTTGTTTTTTTTCTGGTAAAGTCACGTATGTAAAAAATAGAATAAATGAAAACAACTCAATTAAATCACGACGTTTCGGGCGCAACACAAGCGTCCGTCATCAGGTGGGAAAGCATGGCCTACTGCTGATGCAGACTGTTTTAAAGGTATTTTTACCTACGTGACTTTACCGAAAAAAAACAAAGAGTATAGAGTCCTGCATTGGCGCGTTTGTCCAATTCCTCTTTCGGTGGTTGTGCAACGAATGCGGCGGGCGGCTGCTGTTAGCGTAGCGGCAATTTGCCAGTGTAAAGTTGACACGGGGTCGCTTGGCTCGCCAAGAGCGCGGTGGCCCTGCCTTTAACGGAGCAGTGCCGTTCAGACAGTAGTAGCCAGCCCTCCCAGCGTAATCCCCATCGCATGAGCAGCAGCAAGCAGCAGCCTGTTGTGCACAGCGGCGTGCAGAATTTAAAACAGGTGTCAGGGCAGCCCGAGGATCAAACGCACCCTTGTGCGCACGCACGCACGCGCACACACACGCGCTTGCTTTAAATTAGTTCCGGTCAGTGCAGCTTCTTTTCCCGCGTCGTTTGGACAGAGTTCGAACACATGTTAGCACCCAGCAGCAACATCGAACATCAGGTTTATATAAGCCGTAGAGTAAGTTGCTTGCATTGAAAATGTATGCACTGTTGCGTGCACACGCCACATTGCCGTGTGCACAACTGGGATGGCAATTTGAATTCACGCCACATGCCGAGTGGAATAAGGCCCACGGGGAGATGGTGAGAATCCAAAACCAATCATGCATAGTGTCAGCGATCGGCCTTGTAGGCGTGATTGGCTTTGGAATTCCTCCATCCCATGTGAGTCTTGTGCATTTTGCGCGTGGCGTAAATTTATCATCACGTCTTCTCGCGTTTGGCGACGCCTGAACAGAGTGGCAAACTTCACGCTCCTCCGACTTTTTTCACATCGACTCTCTTGGGTATCTTCAGCTCAGGTCTTGCCTGTAACAACCGGGTGACGCAGTAGCATTTTATTCAACGGGCCGCACACCCTGTTGATGAGACGCAGAACGTGTTTGCATGCTTAAACAAAATGCTGATGGAAACATTGGTACAGAAATTCTCAGAATCAGAATCTTTATTTAAGCTGTAGGATCCCGATGAGCTATTACGCTTTTTTCCACAAATGTCCAGTATGGGTGGGTCAGCAAGTTACATTCTACCAGCGGTTTAATCTAAAATTTATCTTGAATTTGTGCTTTTTAAAAGCGCATTTGGCCGAGAATATTCCACGACACCACATTTTATTTTGCACAATTATGTGATAATTTATTATAATTTCAAGAGACAATGACATTCCCATACAGAATTCAGTTAGCAGTCCATCACTGGGTCAGAGGATGACACCCATAAGTTAATACCGTTAGAACTACTAACGTGTGACTTCAATCGGCCTCTTTATTCAAGCTAGAGGCACAACCTTTATATGCCCTACGAAGAGTGTTCATTACATGTCAATCAAATGCAAATTCTACCAGCATTCGAATTGTCCGAGTTAATTGAAATACGAAAATTAATGTGATCATTAAATGTGGGTTTTAAGTGTGGGGGGGGGGGCGCAGTTATTGGTGACGAGCTGCACTTGAGAACCCAGTTCAAACACGAGCAGCTGATTTCAACCCGGAGTCCAATCCAGGCTGTTTCATCGGTGGCAGGTCAGTGTGCTCTGATCCTGGGCCACCCACCCGGTCACCTCGCATAAATACATTTTTAACAACGTTCCACGCTGTTTTTCTATATTCTTTGCACACAAACCCAACACTAATCAAGGGCCCTTGAATTTAGAGGCCCCGTGCAAACACCACATTAAGCCTCGATGAGAACGTGAACGTGAGAGACTTGGCAATGGCCTCCCGTTATCGTCACCCGAGTTCTGCTATTACGGCCAATTGCCATTGATCACCGCGAAGGCACAACGAAAGCCACAACCGTTTGACTGCTCGATATTAACAACGATAGTTCCCCCCCAACCATTTGTTCCATTTTGTTGTTCAGCCTCAAAGACAAATCGTTAAAAACCAATCTCGCCCCGTGACTTGTCTCGCTTTTGAGTCCTGTCTGTGACCGCCCTCTGCTGACCACTCAATTGATGGGGGGGTGGGGGCGGTGTTGGTGGTAAGAAGTGATCCTAGCCTTGGCAGTGGTTGCACGTGCCTAAAAGAACACTGTCCTGAAAAGTAAATATATAATAGGTGACGTTTCGGTCAATGGCCCTTCTTCGTGTGCATCTGTATTCATCACACATGTATTCAAATAAGTGCACAACACAGTTCTCTATCTACGTTAATACACATACGGTGTACGTATAAGCAATCCGCAGTCGGGCTCAGTTCGATATGGGTTTGACGCAGAACTAAACAGTATAATATATAACACGAAATAATAATGTCCCTCGTTGTTGTGGAGATCACCAGACAATACACATTGACATATCGGAAGAGGATGCGGTAAATTAAACGAAACCTGTCAAGAGTTTGCTTGTATTAAACAATATTTCTGAAATTGAATTGAACACTGCCAAAAAGCCCGCGTTGCTGATAGGATACACTGTTCACGTGACGGGACAGGTATGTGAAGGAAGCACATTGCGTATTTATTGTGTCACTTGCAGTATATTCCATAACGACGCTAATGATATTTTATAATATTCACATTTATACAGTACACATACATACAGTACCCCCACCTTTACAAACCCGCATTAACCCGCAAGGTGAAGTATGGTCAAACAACCTCCACGACCCAGCAAGAGTTGGAAGACTCTCATCTATTTATTATTTACTATATTTTTATTTTACCAGGTAAGGCCCCACTGAGCTATATAGCTCTAGGAATGGTTTTACACACACGTCACTCTCGCAATTGACATAACAAACTCGTTTATCAATAACACTGCCTTACAAGGGAAACAATATATTATAGGCAACGCTTCAGACAATGGCCCTTCTGCACAGCACGTGGTTTAGGGTAATGCAGCGCCGCATGTGCTATGATGAGGGGCATTGCCCGAATAGGCGCCGATAACATCTTTACCTTTTGAAGACTACATTGTTATTGACGTTTGTGTGTGTGTTGAACTTCTTTCGCACCGTACGTAGCCAACCGTGCTAATCGGAGCTGCGCGCAGGGGGGGGGGGCGAGAGGATAGCGAACTAAACACAACAAATGGCAATTCCAAATAAATTAGTTTTCAATTGACGAACGTGTTGAGTTTGCCTCTTGTCACTTGCGATTCTGCGCCACTGCCAAAAGCAGCATCAATAATCGTGGTCTCTTTTGAGTCCTCAACTCAGCTGGTTTATCAAATGAACTTGACAATGTCAGCACGTGCGTACACATAGGGGGCGTCGTGGGTAACGCTGAATGAGCATTCAAACCCTACGCCTCTCTCTGGCCTCTGTGACTGCACTGTGACGAAGGGCCATTGCCCGAAACTGCGGACCATACAATAAACCACCGGCGTCTGCTCTCTATTACGGATAATCCCTTCGGTGGCGACGCAATAAAGTACGCAATCATATTCTTGGTTCTTTCGGTAAAGTCACGACGTTGTGTTGCAGTCGGAACGTCGTGAGAATTTTATTATTTTATATTTTTATTCTTTTATTGTTTCCCTTCTACGTGACGACTTTACCGAAAGAACCAAGAATACGAATCCCTGCAGTCACGAAAGCTTTAAATCAGAAAGCTTTAAATCAGAAAGTACGCAATCGTTGAGGTCGTGGTGTGTTCTAGTGGGATAGGCGACTGGTCAAGTAGGCTGGCCACAGGTGAACGCAGGGGGGTGGGTGGGGGCGGAGCGCGCAGGTGTGACCGACCATTCACCGGGTCGGGTAGGTGGGCAGGTAAGGGAAACAACACGGCAGGCAGGCCACGTCAAGGTGAGTTTGGCAGGCCAGTGCTGCTGACCCGTCACCCCCGTAACCATCTTAAGCGCGCACGTTATTGCGCACTGGCATTATTGTGGCGAACGTTGTTGGACGCCGAGATAAATAATGCTGTGCTCGCTATTCATAGTCGTTGCGTTGCAAGTCGATGCATGGTGCGCGTTAAGCGAGAGGGCAGGTAGCTGGCGACGCGATTAACGAGCGTGGCGTTTGAGCTTTGCAAGTCTAAAATTTGTCCTGCCCTGTAAATTGGTGGTGCGCTTTTGGGTGCCCGCTTGTGTTGGGGAGTTAGGTTTTTGTTTTTGGCTTCCGTGGGCGGCTTCATTGCATACCGCGTGGGCTACAAGGTATGTCGGTGCTTACGTGCGTGTGTATATGCGTGTGTGTGTGATGGGGAGCGCTTAGTTGGTAGTGGTTAGCGCGATGCGCAACGATACCTGGAGATCCGAGTTCCATTCGCGTTCACGGCCAACACCGGTGACGGTTTATCTGACGATTATCTCAACCGGTGTTACATGTTATTTGTGTAGTTTATTGTTACAAATTCGGTCACAGTTCCTATGATCACTGTTACATTCCATTTATGGCTTTATTTTGGTGATTTCTAAAAGTTTATTGGTTTGGCCATGTTTTTGTTTATTGTAGTACGGAGTTAGACTGATGGCCTTAATCTAAGTTTTCTTGTTGTTGTTTGACTGGCATCCCACTGGAATTTTTGCACACAGCGTTGGTGTGCGGTGCTATTTCAGGAATATTTTGATGTTTTTTCCTGGATTTTCTGTTTGCACAGTCACACAAAGTCACTTTAAGATGTTTTCTTGTTCATGTATTAGTTTTTTTGTTTGTTGCGGTTGCACCCGATTCAAGAGCCGAATGGCTCACAGGGCTATACCTAATTAATGAAACTATGAAACTACGGAGCCATCCCCAAGGTCTACTCAGCCTCAAATGAGTACCTGGGGAGACAAAGGCCAAAGGTGCACTTGCCCCTACAGTCTGTCGCAGGCTACACGGGGGATCTTTGTCTACGGTTCTGTTTCCTCTGAAAGCCCACAGGCCGATGGACCGACCACAATATACAATTTTAATGCGGAGAGGTCCATTTATTTATTCATTACAGTGCCCCGAAATAACTTACAATGAATGCTAATATCAGGGTTTTGTTTTAAATTAGTAAGCGGGACTGCTTCTGCCCATAGCGTCGGCAAACTCGAACATGTTATTTGTTTAACGAGTCAAATTAACGATTACACGGTGATGTCGATTTTAATTTACCCCCCACCCCCCCCAAGGAAACACTTTTGCCAAATTCTCGAGCCGCATTCATGAGGTTCCTGCGTTCAGGTGTTTAGGCAGCACCGTTGCTAAAGACAATTCAACGTCCTAATCGGATCCATAGTTTGTGTTCAATAAAATCTTCACACGCAGCCGTGAACTATCCACTACTGGACGAAGGCCTCCCCAACCCAGCCAAAAATATCTCACGATTCTGTGAAGTACCTCTATAGAGTAACTGCTGGATCATGTTGGGTCTGGAAATCCTCATAGGCTGATGGACTAAGGCCTTATATGTTTTACTCGCTTCATGCGGGCTCTGTCTGTGCGATTTCGCGTATTTACAGCGAACCTATTTCTCACCAACATTCTCGATATGCGGTCTGAATTCACTCAAACAATGTTGTCCAGAGGTTGGACAACATTGTGTGTGTACTATGTTTACTGTGTAATGTGTGTGCTGTGTGTACTGTGTGTATATACTGTGTACTGTGTATATATACTGTGTGTACTGCGTGTATACACTGTGTGTACTGTGTGTATATACTGTGTGTACTGTGTTTATATACTGTGTGTACTGTGTGTGTATATATACTGTGTGTACTATGTGTATATACTCTGTGTACTGTGTATACTGTGTGTACTGTATATATTGTGTGTACTGTGTGTATATACTGTGTGTACTCTGAGTGTATATACTGTGTATACTGTGTGTGTATACTGTGTCCTGTGTGTGTATATACTGTGTGTACTGTGCGTATATACTGTGTGTACTGTATGTATATACTGTGTGTACTGTGTGTATATACTGTGTGTACTGTGTGTATATACTGTGTGTACGATGTGTATATACTGTGTGTACTATGTGTATATACTGTGTGTACTGTGTATATACTGTGTGTACTGTATGTATATACTGTGTACTGTGTGTGTATATACTGTGTGTACTGTGTGTGTGTATATATATACTGTGTGTATAAACTGTATGTACTGTGTGTATATATACTGTGTGTACTGTGTGTATATACTGTGTGTACTGTGTGTGTATATACTGTGTGTACTGTGTGTGTATATATCCTGTGTGTGCTGTGTATATACTGTGTGTATACTCTGTGTACTGTGTGTATATACTGTGTGTACTGTGTGTATATAATGTGTGTACTGTGTATATATACTGTGTGTACTGTGTATATACTGTGTGTACTGTGTATATACTGTGTATATACTGTGTGTATACTGTGTGTACTGTGTATATACTGTGTACTGTGCGTATATATACTGTGTGTACTGTGCGTATATACTGTGTGTACTGTATGTACATACTGTGTGTACTGTGTATATACTGTGTGTACTGTGTGTATATATACTGTGTACTGTGTGTATATACTGTATGTACTGTGTATGTATACTGTGTGTACTGTGTGTATATACTGTGTGTACTGTGTATATACTGTGTGTACTATGTGTATATACTGTGTGTACTGTGTATATACTGTGTGTACTGTGTATATACTGTGTGTACTGTATGTATATACTGTGTACTGTATGTGTGTATATACTGTGTGTACTGTGTGTATATACTGTGTATATACTGTGTGTACTGTGTGTGTATATATACTGTATATACTGTGTATATACTGTGTGTACTGTGTGTATATACTGTATGTACTATGTGTGTATATACTGTGTGTACTGTGTGTACTGTATATACTGTGTGTACTGTGTGTGTATATATACTGTGTGAACTGTGTATATACTGTATGTATATATACTGTATGTATATATACTGTGTGTATATACTGTGTGTATATACTGTGTGTACTGTGTATATACTGTGTGTACTGTGTATATACTGTGTGTACTGTGTGTATATACTGTGTGTACTGTGTGTATATACTGTGTGTACTGTGTGTGTATATATACTGTGTGTACTGTGTGTATATACTGTGTGTACTCTGAGTGTATATACTGTGTATACTGTGTGTGTATACTGTGTCCTGTGTGTATATACTGTGTGTACTGTGCGTATATACTGTGTGTACTGTATGTATATACTGTGTGTACTGTGTGTATATACTGTGTGTACTGTGTGTATATACTGTGTGTACTGTGTATATACTGTGTGTACGATGTGTATATACTGTGTGTACTGTGTGTATATACTGTGTGTACTGTGTGTGTGTATATATACTGTGTGTATAAACTGTATGTACTGTGTGTATATATACTGTGTGTACTGTGTGTATATACTGTGTGTACTGTGTGTGTATATACTGTGTGTACTGTGTGTGTATATATCCTGTGTGTGCTGTGTATATACTGTGTGTATACTCTGTGTACTGTGTGTATATACTGTGTGTACTGTGTGTATATAATGTGTGTACTGTGTGTGTATAATGTGTGTACTGTGTGTGTATATATATACTGTGTGTACTGTGTATATACTGTGTGTACTGTGTATATACTGTGTATATACTGTGTGTATACTGTGTGTACTGTGTATATACTGTGTGTACTGTGCGTATATATACTGTGTGTACTGTGCGTATATACTGTGTGCACTGTATGTATATACTGTGTGTACTGTGTATATACTGTGTGTACTGTGTGTATATATACTGTGTACTGTGTATATACTGTATGTACTGTGTGTGTATATACTGTGTGTACTGTGTGTATATACTGTGTGGACTGTGTGTATACATACTGTGTAGTGTGTGTGTATATACTGTGTGTACTGTGTGTGTATATATACTGTATATATACTGTGTATATACTGTGTGTACTGTGTATATACTGTGTGTACTGTGTGTATATACTGTGTGTACTGTGTGTATATACTGTGTGTACTGTGTGTATATACTGTGTGTACTGTGTGTGTATATATACTGTGTGTACTGTGTGTATATACTGTGTATATACTGTGTGTACTATGCGTATATACTGTGTGTACTGTGTGTGTGTATATACTGTGTGTAATGTGTGTGTGTATATACTGTGTGTACTGTGTGTGTGTGTATATACTGTGTGTGTGTATATATACTGTGTGTACTGTGTGTATATACTGTGTGTACTGTGTGTATGTATATACTGTGTGTATTGTGTGTGTATATACTGTGTGTACTGTGTGTGTATATACTGTGTGTGTGTATATATACTGTGTGTACTGTCTATATACTGTGTGTATATACTGTGTGTACTGTGTGTGTATATACTGTGTGTACTGTGTGCATAAATACTGTGTGTACTGTGTGTGTATATGTACTGTGTGTACTGTGTTTATATACTATGTGTACTCTGCGTGTATATACTGTGTATACTGTGTGTCCTGTGTGTGTATATACTGTGTGTACTGTGTGTATATACTGTTTGTACTGTGTGTATATATACTGTGTGTACTATGTGTATATACTCTGTGTACTGTGTATACTGTGTGTACTGTATATACTGTGTGTACTGTGTGTATATACTGTGTGTACTGTATATACTCTGTGTACTGTGTATACTGTGTGTACTGTATATACTGTGTGTACTGTGTGTATATACTGTGTGTACTGTATATACTGTGTGTACTGTATATACTGTGTGTACTGTATGTGTGTATATACTGTGTGAACTGTTTGTGTATATATACTGTGTGTACTGTGTGTAGATATACTGTGTGTACTATGTATATACTGTGTGTACATACTGTGTGTACTGTGTATATACTGTGTGTACTGTGTGTATACTGTGTGTACTGTGTGTATATACTGTGTGTGTATATATACTGTGTGTACTGTGTGTATATACTGTGTGTACTGTGTTTATACTTGTGTACTGTGTGTATATACTGTGTGTACTGTGTGTGTATATATACTGTGTGTACTGTGTGTATATGTACTGTGTGTACTGTGTTTATATATTGTGTGTACTGTGTGTGAATATATACTGTGTGTACTGTGTGTATATACTGTGTGTACTGTGTGTGTATATATACTGTGTGTACTATGTGTATATACTCTGTGTACTGTGTATACTGTGTGTACTGTATATACTGTGTGTACTGTGTGTATATACTGTGTGTACTCTG